TGAGCATTGGGTATGAAACCCATAGCACCACCCGCGTGGACGATAATCCAACGTGGCCCTTTAGAGTCTGATGATAATACACCTTCTTCTTGTTCGCTTTGCCAACATTTTCCGGCGCAATATGTTGCGTGTATATATGTCTCGTCCAAATATACAACTGGGCGCTGGTTTCCGAGACGATTATTTCGTAATTCTTCCAGGTATCGATAACGCCAGGCGACAATATCGTATCTCTCCATTAGGACTTTTCTTTTGGATCTACATTTTTTAAAATAAAACCCGATATCTTTCATTATTCTCCACAAAGTGGTACGACTTCCTTTGAAACCTATCTCGCTTCGCATTTCATGCAATAACTTTGTAAGAGTAGGTAATTCCTTTTTTACGGAATAAAATTCATGTATTTTATGCCTAATAGCACACCGTTCGAAGTCATCCAGTTCGATTTTTTTAGGCCGGGGACCGCTTTTGCGTGGTGTTGAAACCTTAGTCGACGTGCTGGCAGCGACCTCACCTTCTTTGGTGATTTTAGACACGGTTTTTTCGGACACACCTAAAACAAATATTTTGATTTATTTATCTATTGTCAACGTCATACATAAACCAATAATAGTCGCAGTACACATGCTTGCGTAGATCTTACAAATAACTACCGTTTAAAAAAAATTGCGGTTAAAGTGTGGAAATTATAATTTCTCTATCTGCTACTGGTAACCCTATTTGACTGACCTGTAATGGCGGCAACACGAGCCTGAACACATCTTAAAGGAATTAATGGTGCATTATTACGTTTTTCACGTTCACAAAAGTTCTTCACCTTTAACACCATCATTCTTTCACCACTTTTTAATGTTTTGGGCATAATTTCAGTCGAAAATCAAATGAAAATAAACAAAATCTGCGGGAGCGTCTTCTCGTGCCAAAGACTTTGACAGAGAGGGAGGCCAACATAACGCCATAGGTACTATTCGTTGAAACGAACTATAGCACAGATTGAAATATACAGTTTTTTTTTATCGTTAACGTGGGCTTCAACTTCGAATAATTCCCAGTTCCATTAAATAAAGTTTAGTCGTACGTGTACTCGTATGTACACCAACAACAAAAAAATATTAAAAAAAAACGTGTGTGTGTACTTATGTACGACGTAAGAAGTTATACTTCTTTGGCGTAACAGAACAAAAATAGCTAAAGATTTCATCATTAGCTTTCAGCTAACTTCATCGTGTCGCTTTTTGGCTGTCGGTATGCGCGCGCATCGTAAAAATTTTACTCTCATAATTTTTTCCAAACGCGCCAAAAGAAGTATAATTTCAATAATGATTGAAAATTGTTATAATTGTTTTATTTTTATTTTAATTAATATAAAAAATATAAGAATAAATTAAAAAAGTACAAGCGCGTTTCATTCATTTACAGAAGATTTCGTACTGTGCCACTCGCAAGCATTATGTTATGCTTCCATTTAATTAATTTTAATGTTAGCATAAATAATTTAGTTTTTAATAGTTTTTCCCAAGGATACTATAGAAAATAAAACGAACATATCGTGGAACCGAATAGGTATATCCCATATCGCAAAAGTCAAAACGATTCAACACCATTTTAGAACCTTATAGCTTGCCATTGCCGTAAATTGACAGTCGCAGAAATATCTGTCCCATTATTATAGAACTATCCAATGCAATACTAAATAATGTATTTTTTATTTTCAAGTTAGACTTTGCAATAATTTAAAAGTATGTCGATAGCTTCTTCCGGTAAAAGAGTTACGAAATTTTAGCGTAAATCTTGAACTTTTAAGTGAAACAAATTGAGGAAAATTCGTTGTGAAGGCCACTTAAGACTCGTGCAAGTGCAGATCAAAGTATTTTCTCGTATGGTATAAATTTATCTAGAAATTGCCCTAAATGTCTATTTCGTAAGTTTTAAAGAACATTATTAACATTAGGACACTAAGTTAGCGAGTCACCTTTATATTTAAAATTATTCTTTATATATTTTATTTTAAGAAATTTAGCGAAGTACTTTATATTATGTATAGTATTTATTATGTGATCTGTGCTATTACTAAATTTACAGTCCAAGATTTAATAAACTAGTTTGAACATACAGTTTTACTCGCTATCACATAAAATGGATTTTTGTCTTATATAATCGTAGACAAGGTAAAACTAACGTACTCCCGACCGAATTCAGCCACGGCGGCCAATTTTGCTGAGACTACGCGCAGACACAATGCTTACGCTCCATTCCTGTTACTCTCGAAGTCCGAAAGGTCTATACTACGACACGACCGGTGAGAGTTAAGGCACAAAACCGACGCGACGTCTTTACGTGCTCTCCGAGGCACGGAGGTTCAACACCGCCAACTTTTCAACTCCTAAAATTATAACTTGGCCCCACCCGGGACTGAACCCAGGACTTCAGCATTTGCAACCATACAGACTAGCCATTAGACTACCGAGGCAGTCAAAAAAAAAGTAAAAGTACACACTGAGCGGATCATTGAAAGCTAAACGGATCGTGTCTATTTAACAATAAGGTAGAAGTATCATCAGATCAGATCATATGAAAGGTTTAGAACCGTGCGCATGGTAAATTATGATTACAAAACCTGTTGTTTGCTGCAATATTATATATTTTATATTACTTAAAAAAATACGTGTTGTTATATGTACTCCAAGACATTGTATGTATTCAGCCCTTTTTAACGTCCCACTGCTGGGTGTAGGCCTCCCTTCAATACGAGAGGATCAGTAGAGGAGGATATAGTCTAGTCTACCACGCTGGTCAAGTGCGGGTTGGCGGACTTCACATGTCTTTCGAAACTTGCTAGGTTCTCTCACACATGCAGCTTTCCTCACCATGTTTTCCTTCACCGTAAGGAAAGTTATAAGGTATAGGTTAAATCATGTTAGAAATGATTCGTACGTGAAAATATGAGAGGTGCGAAACCTTGGATTTGAACCCGCTTCACTCGGTTTCTCAAGAGAGCGCATTAAACTGGGCTACCACTGCCTCCGAGACATAAAAAGATTTTAAATTAAGTTAAAAAGATATACTTAGATACAGTGCATACCATAAAATAACTTATTACAATGTAAGGAAAATTAGCCATTCTAAAATTAAGCCTTAACTTAACATGAGGGTTAATAGTTTAAGGTTGGCGATGTGTAAATATATGACTTTTGACCCATTTCATATTTTTGTTCAGGTCGCGCTGTCTTTACGCTACAGCTGTGGCGATTCTAAAAATATCTTCTCATTAGCAGGACGGCCTTTGCCCTACTCCATATAAACACCTTTTTTTAAGTAGACCCTTGGTGTAAAATGATACAAAACCACGTAAGAGACCAAACAAACTTTGCAATTACTCTGATTTCAAATATAATGACGTACAAAAATTTTCAGTGACGCAATGATAAAAAGTTGAAGAACAAGCGTTTGTTAGATATTGCTTTTCAACCGACTTCAAAAAGGAGGAGGTTCTCAATTCGACTGTATGTTTTTTTTTTTATGTTTGTTACCTCAGAACTCCGTCATTTATTAACCGATTTGGACAATTTTTGTTTTGTTTGAAAGGGTATACTTCCAGATTGGTCCCATTTAAATTTCAAAAAAAAATACCACCCCTAAGGGTGGAAAAACAACTAATGATGAATTTAACCTACTTCTAATTGTCGTATTGACTTGAAATTTTGCAAGTATTTCTATTTCCGTTGATAGTACAGTGGTTCGGTGTTGTTGACCTGATCTGATGGCAAGGCCAGAAGGTGGATAGGTGGAACTCTTCAACGGCTAATAGTAGATACTTTGAGTTTGGGCTTATTTTGTTTGATTTGACAAGCCTAACACGTTAGAATTCTTACTTTGCTACTACTGTTTACACTAAAAAGGGAAAAATAAAAACTTTTTAACAAAAAAATAAAAACCGACTTCAAACAAAAGCACTAAAAAGTAAAAAATAACTGATTGGTAGTTTTCATTTACTATACATACCTAATCAAATATTTTCGAAGTCGGTGTGCTTTGGCTAAGTAATTAAAGCCTACCTATCAAATACATACCTAGTCAAATATTTTCGAAATCGGTGCCAGCCCATACAAAGCAAAGCACACCGACTTCGAAAATATTTGATTAGGTATGTATAGTAAATGAAAACTACCAATCAGTTATTTTTTACTTTTTAGTGCTTTTGTTTGAAGTCGGTTTTTATTTTTTTGTTAAAAAGTTTTTATATCATGTACGTACTTAGCTTTGCTGAGAAATGGAACAGATCGTATTATTCTTCGTTACATGATATAAATACAAAAGTTAATTTACAATTATCAGCGAGCCATGCCGGTGTTTAAGGAACTATATTTTATATTTCTTAATAAATATACACATAAAAAATATTATTAATGTAATTATTTATATTTGTACTATATTCATTAAAATATATTCAATATTTATATCTACATACACTTATACCTATTATTTATTTACTTCTTTTAAATATTTTATTTAGTTAGGAAACAGAGTATCCTACCAGCCACAAACTTTAATTCTAGGTCTGAATTGGTAAAAATAATTCATCAAATAGCGGATATATGGATACGGCAGTCTACTAACGTGACTCCCCGCATAAAAGGTTGGCCAAAAAATAAAAAATGAACAATATATAAGCTAATTTGTAGGTAAATGAAACTAACGAAAACGTATAACTATACATATAATAAAATTCTGATTCGAATCTGTACATTAAATATTTTTTTGGCAAATCTTATGGAAATAGTCATTATTATCGATACAAATTTTGTCTGTCTGTCTGTGACCGCATTACGAGAAAACCACTGGACAGATTTTGATTAAATTTAGTATGATGATAGCTGGTAATCCGGCTCAACATATACTCGTACTATATAGGATACTTTTTACTGCAGAAAAATATCTCATCTTTGAAAAATCTGTACTAAACTACATATATATAATATTTGTAAAACATTATTTTCCAGTGATGAGGACGACACGGGCCGACTCCTCCGGAAACTCAGTCGCATCAACCGCCCGCTGGGCATCAACTTTCCGCAAATGGTGAAGCTCATGGGCCAGTGCCAGCAGGTAACATCACGTCTCTACCAACAGGTACTCACTGTGAATGACATTGTTTATTTAAAAAAAAACTAATTAGTCTTTAACGGTCCTTCGAGCCGAATGCACATTTCATAGCGTCTCCATTAAGAGAAATCCATTGCAAATAATACATATGTTTTGTTATTAAAATTATAATATATTGTATATATTGTTACGTATTTGCACGTAACTTTAATATTATGTTTATGACGTAGGTATTATTTACGCAATAACTTACTCAAGAATTAATAGTATCACGCACATTGTAATGTAAGATCTCTTTTTTAGTCGATCATTTGTTATAATGAACAGATTCTTATATGTACTTAAATTGCCCGAAGCAAAAAATAACTTGTTGTAAACATGAATTAACAGGAGATAAATTTAGTGTTGAAACACTATTATTACGAGAAATACATATATCTTTTATACAGGTAAATAATATTGAAGTGTCTGTTTGTAATGTCAAAATAACAGTTTTTTACTAAATGCATATGAAATTATATCGGAAAAATACAATATTTTAAATTTTGTCTGTCTGTTTGTTCCGGCTAATCTCCGAAACGGCTGGACCGATTTTGACGGTACTTTCTCTGGCAACAGCCGATATTATAAGGAGTAACTTAGGCTACTTTTATTTTAGAAAAATAATTAGGGTTCCGTTAAAAAATACGTGCGGAACGCACCTGAGCGATGTCAGGGTAAGCCGCTAGTATTAAATAAAGCATTAAGAGTAACTCTTTTGACGTAATAGCTACTAGAAGCGAAAGTGAATTAAAGTGGTTAAGTAACTCAAACAGCTGAAATCCGGTGCGATCCCAATCTTTGAACATAACATACTGAACCCTGCAATGTTCACTCAGTGGCACGCCCTTGACCCGGTTTCCGTGAACTCGCCAAAGAGCTCTGCTAAGCGGAGATGAGAAAACAACTCTTGAGCATAAACAACTGTCACTGGCCACTGCCTACGAAATACTTTTGTGAACGATATAACGCGCCTTTGTGTTGTATTTTCGCTACTGCTTTTTGTATATCATACTAGCGGCTAGCCGCGGGCTGCAAATTGTCAAAATATCTAAAATTCTAAAGGCGTTGGCGATGACCCACCGCAACTTTTATTCGCGGCATCAGCTATATTTAAGAGTTCTAGTAATTTTCATCTCTAGTTTATCCATATACTGATTCACCTTCACTTATTAAATTATGATTAAAAACGATTGTCCTAAACAATCTTCTTATGCATACGTGACAATTTTTAATAATAGTCGACCATACATTTTGAGTATATTTCCCTTTACTGTTACGGTGTGTAACTGACACACAAGATGACAGGGAGAACTCACAGCTATGATTTTTCTAAATACTGATTTTTCTATTGAAATTCTGAAGTGAAAAGACGCTTGCAACAAAGTAGCATTTGTGAATATAAAACGGTTTTGTTTCTAGGCCACTTCAGTACGCGACTCAAATTTTAATATGTTAAGTTTCGAGAAATTGAATCTTTAAGCAATTATTATTAATAGTTCAAATAGTAGGTATTTAAATATACTGTTTCTTCGCCTAATACATTACAATTTTCTTTTACTTAGATGGTACATGATAATAGAGGAAAGATAAATGATCCAGTTAAATGAAGCACCAATTAATTACAATTAATATTAGGAAGAACTTTAATTTCACATACGGTAGAAAACACTTCTTCGTCTCCAGGATTTCTTCAATAATAAATATATAATATACAATATAGAAATTATAATGCCTATCTAACAAATGTCTTTTAAGTGCTATATGACTTATAAGCACTATAATCCAGCTAAGCGTCAACGCCAATATCGCAAAATCTTCACAGGGCTAAGGCATGGCTTACCTACTATACGTCTAGTACCGGTACAAAAGTCAAACATATTTGCAAAAATAGTACCAACGTTTTAATACTGCACATCTACTGCTAACCTTTGCTATATCTTTAATGGTGAACTTTACTTTTGTTATATTAAAATAATTATATAACTCAATCTACTGATGCGAGACCGATATTCAGATCTGGCTTGGCTTTATCAGATCGATTTGTTGGAATATAAATCATAATTTTGTTACGTACGAACCATCATTTGTTATGCATGATAACATCTATAGGTAGATACATATAATAAAACTAGCAGCTCACCCTCGCTTCGCTCGGGTTCGCCTCTAGGACAACAAATCTATCCCACGGGAACCGTATATTTTTCGGGATAAAAAGTATTTCACTTAGATCCGTTCAGCCGTTCTGGCGTAAATGAGTAACAAATATTCATACATCCATACTCACAAACTTTCACATTTATAATATAAGTATTAATATACCTAGATTCTGAGTGGAATCTGTACATTAGGTAACTATTTTTTGGAAAATCTTATTGAAATAGTCATTATTATCGATACTGATGCCGAATCTATGCGAATCATTTTACTTCGGTAAAATATCTCATCTCTGAGAAATCTATATTAAACGTTAAATCCTAAATGCAACATAATTTTCTCCAAAATTAGCTATTTAAATATGTCACTCACTACAGTTTATCTAACTTGGTCAATCCACCTCCTTATAGATTTCAGTCTCAAAGAAAATAAAAGAAGAAACAACTTTAGAAGAAAAGAGACTTACATCGTTGAACATTGTTAATTAGGCTTTCATCGAACATCAAAGGCTCTCGTGTTAATGAATAGGGCCTAATCTCAAACTTTATACAATGCCATCTTATAATGTATTTATGTATATATAATGTAATGATGCATAGTTGCTACGTACTCGTATATCATTGTTCTAAAATTATTTTCCATTCAATATTTTAATTTTTGCCTTTCTAATCCGAAAAGATTACCTGGTTCATGTCTTTTTACTTTAGTGATGACTTTACAAATGTACGTAATATTTCTTTGCAGGTTGAGGGGGTAGAATCTAATGACGTGAGTCACCGCGACGGGTGGCAGGAGCGCGGGGACGGTGCCGCTGAAGAACGTCTTCGAGCTGGTGGCGCACACGCTGGCCTACTTGGTGGTAGCCCTCTATCTCTGCTGCAGGGGATTATACCTGGTGAGATAGCATTTCATGATATCAAGGAAATATCTTTAAAAAAGAGAAAAAAAAATTGTTTCGCTTGAAATAGTCATAATAGATACCTGTAGATCTACACGTAGAGTGCTATCTACAAATCCATAATCTCCCATACTAGGGTCCTCCAAACTTTACCGTATGTATATCAAGATCCACGTATAAAACAGGTCCGATCGCAACGGAAACGTAGACACGGCTCTGAATTAATTTAGTTTTCACGTAATAAACTAAAATATTGTTCATCAATACTCAAATTAGGTCATATACATTTTTTATTTGTTATTACTTAAAATTGACGATTAGGTACCTAATACTCCAGCGCTGTTAAAGTGAAATTGCATAGTTTCAAATAATTTTCCACTTTGCCATAATGACAGCATTTACAACGCATAATTGCAACGCTAACTCCATTTCATAATTTCATTGTTTCATAAATGTTAGGACATGTCACCTACGAGTAGATGTAATGTAATAATATAAATCCATTTGGTAGAATTAGTTCTAAAACAATATAAATAGTGAACATAATTATTTTCAAAATGTTATAATAGCGTAAAATAACCATTGTTGAATCCTCTGTGTCAGAGATATAAAATAAGATATTATTTAAAGAAGTCACAGACTTCAAAGAACCAAATTGTCTGTGAAAGAAGTAAACCAAAACCATTAATTTTAACCGTTACTGAACTCAATATATGAAACAATAAAATTACCCATCTCTAAATTGCTTTCAGGCACAAAATGGTGTGGCACAGGCGACATAGCGAACGACTACCACGACCTAGGCGCAGACCGCTGGCTCGACCGCTGCTGCCGAACCCACGACCTCTGTCCCAGTAAAGTGCGCGCATTCTCCCGACGATACAACCTTACCAATAACTCACTCTACAGCAAATCTCATTGTACTTGCGACGACATGCTCTTCGACTGTCTCAAAGCGACCAACACCTCGGCCGCACATCTCATGGGACACATATACTTTAATATCGTTCAAGTGCCGTGCTTAGAGGATCTTCCTACCGGCCGACGCTTCAGAGAAGCGAGACAAGGGTTCTAGATGCCTCCTATAGTATAGCTAAGTTAAAGCTACGGCGCCATCGAGTAGTCATGTCTGCACGGATTTATATGCTGTAAATTTGCATTTATTTGAGTTTGTGTATGTCATATAAGTGTAAATAATGTAAAGACGTAATTAACGATACACGTTAAACCTGTGATATGTCTGTGCCTTGAATTATTCTTTAATGTATATTTAGAAGCTGGCGCCGTTTCGTTAGTCAAAGATTATTTTGTAATAGTAAATAATTATTTATTTGTCCTATTTAAGATGACATTGTTGAACAATAGATTCAATAGATATTGTCTATAATGTTATAACTAAACTACGATAATTTGAAGCGCTATTAATTCAAATATAAGTTTTACCAATAAAGTTTGTATTCATTGAAACCCTGCTTTAATATAAAACGTAGAAAATTTAGTCCAAACACATGTCTTTCTCTTTAAATTAAATGCGAAAATAATTAAGAATTTAAGAATTTAATTTTTAAGAAATAATGATTTTCACATTTATAGTGATCTCCAAATTAAAAAATAAAAATAAAAGTCAGTTATGCGACACTTGTTGGGAGATCAAGACCTAAAAATCTACCTTACGGTCTGCAAAATAGAACTCCCGACTCTCTGACTACTTTGAACTGAAACGTGTAAAAATCTAATACAATAAACCGTGTATTAAAGATGACAAGCTATATACAAACAGCGTTAATAAAAATAAACAAATAATATAAACGCATACAGTGCCACTTATTATTTAGAATATTTTTATCGTATTTAAAAATGGCTATTACATACATACAGACGGACATGATGAAATTGTGAGGTTACTTTTTAGTTTTTTGGTTTCAGTACCCTACTAATGATGTAATACCATCAACAATGGGAAAGAATTTTGCCTTTTTCTCCCGCCAGATGTCGCGATCACTATGATCCTCAGTATATTGTAAAGCTATAGCTTAGATGGAATTTTTATCATTTTATTTAAAATTTTATTAAAATAACAAATTATGCAGTGCCAAGATGCAAAGAAAATGGATATCATTTGTTCCCAAAAGACAAAAACTAAAGAAATTGGGGGCTAAAGCAATAAGACAACCAAAATTGACGATATCACAATCTTTATATTTCGGGCAACGTGGACATCATTTTACAGAAAGTGTTTTTAAAACTCTTAAATCATCTACAGGGAATTTTTTATTTTTATTTTTGTACTTTTTTACATATTCAAATCAAAATATACTTATATTGAAGAGCATTAATACTAAGTTTCAAGTAATTCTGTTCATTAATAATCCTTGCCCTTATAAACTTTATTACCTTCTATCACCCCTTTAAAGTATGCACTTCGAAAAGATCAAATAAATGTATTGCTTATTTTTATATTAAAGCTAAATACTATTTTCTGTGTATTTCACATTAAGAAAGACAGAGTTTCATACAATCTTTAATCCCCTATTTTACCCACTTAGGGGATGTATTTTGAAAAATCCTTTCTTATCGGTTGCCTAGATCATATAAGAAACACGTCCTTCAAATTTCACGTTTCTACGACCAGTGGTTTAGGCTGTGTGTTGATCCATCAGTTAGTACCACCACAGGATGCACCTCTCGTTCTCAATTTCCTTCAGCAGGTCTAACTTCCAGGTAAAATACATTACACAGATAAGATGAGAATACAATGGAAGCAAAAAACTAGGTACAAAACAAATATCATTATTAAATTGCGTAACCTCAGACTGAATGAAAGTAGATCATACGTGTAGCGCCCTCCTTTCAAAAAATCTTCCACATTAACACTTTTACTTATTTTTTTTAATTTAACGTTTATTTACTTTTATATTCTATATATCCACATTGACTGCTGCAAATGTATCTTAATGTATTATCTATAAAACATTGATTCTTTATGTGTTATCTACGTCAAGTCTTCTTGTCAAAAAAAGAACGTCAATTGTCAAGCAATTCTCGTATTTTCATGGATCACCTTCATATTATTCAATGAATTTTTTCACGTTTCCGTTCTTCTAGTCATTAAAATATGTGTAAAATCTCTATATTGTTATACTAGCTGCTGGAAAGACGTGGACCGCAATGGACGAACAAACGTCGACGTCCAGCGAGTCCACTGTGACGAAAGGTGTGTTTTGCGTTATACCTTTATTTGTGTTAATGTGTCTGCAGGAAGTTGAGAGTGTTTCTGTTTCAAGTTGAAGCTGGAGGCAAAGACAGCGCGGTCCCAGGGCAAGGAAGGCGAGACCTTGAGGAGGAGTTTAACGTCCAGAGGGCTAAAATGAAAGAACTATTTTTACAAAAAGAAGGTTTGTAGTTTACTGATGTTCAACGTGTGAAAGCCTTTTTTTTGACAGTGCATCATAATATTTTTAATTGTCTTGCGTGTTCATGGTGTCGGATGTTAACTACATTTTTATGTTTGTGTGGTAAGCCATGCTAATAGTTGAGGGTAAGTTATTTTATAATCATATTGAAAACTACAATAAAATTACAAAATTAAAATTTTTATTAACAACTGGAGAACTGGTTTCAGTCATTGCTATAAACTTATAGATATGTTAATTTGTTACTGATGTTACTATATGCATTTAACTTGTTATTCATATAGTGTAGTAGCTACATTAGTTAAGTAATTTCAACGGTAAAGTGAAATCATTATTATAAATTAATTATATTTTCTAAACATAAATATCTTATAAGAATTCAAGCTCTTTAAAATAACTAGTGATAACTCTTGTGTAAGTATGGGTATTAATAAATCTCAAAGTATCCATATATACATGTGTTATCATGTTGTCTGTTGATGATATGCTGATGTTAGTATAATATACAAAAAAACCCAGCACGGAATTAAAAAAAGACTAACATTTAATTTCAATAATTTAAATCATTTTAACAATGCACATATTAGTATTACAAATTAATATATTTAATTTTAAGATCAAAATACCTTAGCTAAGATATTGTTCAGATAGATAATTTTTATTATTTTATTGTTAGAAATTTAATGAATATAGTGAAAATTTCTTGAGTATAGTGAGCCGAAAGGTAAAAATTTGTTATTTCTATAATAATAGTTTAATATTATTTACAGAGGACTTGCGAAAGTTGGTGCTAGAGAAACAGCAGCTGGATTCTGAGGTGCTGGGGTTGCGTGCTGAGCTCCAACAATTGCAAACCCTTAGTGAAAACCAGAAATCAGAAATACAAAGTTTGCAACTTCTAGTTAGTGGTATGTTATCTTTTTCATATAAATATGGATAATCATATATAAATATGGATGAGCCTAATATCTTAAAAACTTTTATGGTGTAGACTTGGGAAGTTTCAGACATACATAGTTCCATCAATTTATATTAGTATGACCATGGGGTTGCATCATGAACAAAGAAAAAATAGTTCAAATAAATGTCAATAGATGACATTACATATATCGATTTATTATTAAAGTTGTGTTAAATTAATAAAACATAAAATCATAGATTCCAAGAAGATGTATTATTGTTTTAAAAAATATTCTAAGTGAACTGAAATAATGCACTCGTAAATCAAATTTGTGTAATTTAACTGATTATTGTAATATCAACAATCAGGTGATGGTTGTAGTATATTTTCACAGATGGCGCTTTTATTTTTTATGAATTGTTTATCACAGCTAAATTAGTTAAAATCACAGATTTTTTTAAATTCAAATTCATGATGAACTTTACAATATTTACTATTCGTTAGCTGAGTAGTTGTGTTGAAAAAATAAAAGTAACCACTAAGTTATTTATGAATATTATATTGTAAGAAGACAGCTATATCTGCTGGTAGAGCTAGAACTCATTAAAATAACTACTAACAATTATACATTATTCCTTTTAGTACTTTCTTTTACATTTTATTTTAAAAACACTTGAGTTAAAATGTAAAAAATATTGTGCCCCATTATCAATTCTTAAGCAATTATATACATACATATATCAAGATATAACACATAATTGTGTTATTTTAGATGTGTAGTGTAACAGTATTATATAGTATGAACCTATATAGTAGGATAATAGAATATTATTATTTTACAAACATGATGTTCTTCTCCTGACCGATTCCGGCCACGGCGGCCAATCTCATTGAGACTAGCCAAAAGCGCAGGAGATATTATAGTGCTCAAGTGCACGCGCAGACAGGTGAACTCTCTATTTATATCACTCATACTCCGGTGGGACGACTATTGGACACGACCGGTGAGAGTTAAGGCGCAGGACAGCTTTACGTGCTCTCCGAGGCACGGGGGTGAAACACCGCCAACTTTTTTTTTTATACTATTCAGAATTAGTGCTTGACTACGTTCCACCTGATGGTAAGTGGTAACGCAGTCGTAGATGGTAAGTCGCACTAATTCAGTAGCCACCTATTCACTCTTGCCTTGAAGACACCCATATTATAATCGAACAGAAACACCGACGCAGGCAGGTTGTTCCAATCCTTAGCCGTACGTATAATATGGAACAACGACGGGTGGAATGTCCACGACATAAGGATGGAGACCAGCCGTTCGTCGGGTTGTCCGATGATGGAAAGGGGATGGGGGAATTAATTCATGTAGTTCCTGCGCACACTCTCCGAAATGTAACCTATAGAATACACAAAGGCTGGCAACCCTTTTTTTTTCACGTTGGGAAATGCATTTACGCACGACGTGTGGGACTCACCGGCGTAATACAGCCAGTACTACCCACTAAAACCCAACAAAACCTTCCCCCGTCTTAATGGGGCGTCGCAGGATCGCTTACGCATTCAACTACGACGCCCCGACGGCAGGTCTGCCGAAGCAGACCACCACAACCATGGGGTTGCTCCACAGTCCATTCTGCTATCAGAGAAGTACCAGGAGCAACCCGCATGGTACACTGCCCTTCGAAGAGGGCCACCTCCCACCGTCCACCGAAGTGGGCAACCTCCCTGTGCGTTTCTTAGCTTCGCGCCCGGTTGGATTGTCGGGCACTACTGAGCCCCCCCACCACGACAAGGTGAACGCACGTTGGGGGGGAAAGGCTGGCAACCCTACGTCGGTGATGGAGGCTTTGTAAATTAGCTTTTACCAGCGTAGGGTCACCTATAAGCCTTTGAGCACGCCTCTCAATCGAGTCCAAGGCTGACAGATGGCATTTCGCAGCACCAGCCTATATGTGGCTACAGTATTCCACACACGACCGGACTTGCGCTTTATATAAAACAAGAAGCTGTCCCGGCGTGAAATACTGTCGGACCTTTGCAAGACCTTCCCAACTCCGGGCTGTTACTGAGGCTTGCTATACAGAAAGACTCAATAACTAAACTTGGCCCGACCCGGAACTCGAACCCAGGACCTCCGGGTGTGCAGCCGTACATGCTAGCCACTACACCACCGAGGCAGTCAACATATATAATATAATAAAAATGAACCAAAAAGTAAAATTTTTCATGAACAAGTTTACTGCTTAGACTATTATCAATTAGTTATATCCATTTCATTTATTAACCACTAATAATGGGTAAAATGGTAAGATTAACTATTAAAATTTTGTATTAAATATTGTACTCCAGTCCTTTGTAACATCCCACTACTGGGCCTCCTTAATATGTATAGGATCAGGTCAAAAACTTTTTAAAAAAGCTGGGTTCTCTCAGACACGTATTTTTCTCACAATCTTTACCATCACTGCAAGAGAAGTGGTAATGGTAATCATGTATACAAATGATTTGCATATGAAAATATGCAAATCGGATTTGAACCCGTTTTACTTGGTTTCCCAAGCAAGACCACTGAGCTATCACTGTCTATATTAACAATCAAATAGTTAAAAGTGACGATAGAACTGCATGCCTAATAATCGGACTATTATTAAAAATTATAAAGATCCTATATGTGTATGTCTGTTACTCCTCCACGCTGAAACTACTGGAGGGATTTCGATGAAATATAGTTCACAGATACACTATGACCTGAACTAACTTAATATAGGATAGTGTTAGGGGACTAGGAACGCTGCCGAAAAAAGCTAGGGGAAGTCGATAGTATAAAAAAAACTGTCATGAGGACTGCCGACAGAAGTGAAAACTAAAAACAATAAACAAACAGTTGTTATTTTTGGATATTTAAATTAATTGTTTGACCTTAAAACTGTTTACATTTATCTGGTTTTCACGTTTTTTGAGTGTTTATCGTTGACACCTCACGTTGCCATGTCGATGACGACTTACATGAATTTACTCTATTAAATAATTTCATGTAAAACAATGATGGATGGTTTTGAATGAAATTTAAAATGTACGACCGTTAGCAGGAACTAGCTGTAAACAACAGTTTGGTACTTCATTAGTTCTATTGTAATCTGAATAATTTATTAAAATTAATGGTTTTAATCACAATCTGAACATATTAAAAATATTTTCCTCAATCCACATTAGTCTTTTGTGTAAAATTGTGGAATTAACATGTTTTATTAAAATGTTACCACTTGTATCCTGCTTTTGGGGTCCGGAAGGTATTTTTGAAGTGTTTTATTACAAGTCCATCAAATTATGTCCGTATGCCTATTTGTTTCCTGTCACCTTCGCAAAAGCCATACTAATTTTAACGCAATTCATTTAGACATTTGTAATTAGGTCTGTTTAGTAAAACTAGATAACGCATAGAAGGTTTATTAGAGTTTTTGTAAGGTGCATTGTGAGTCAAGCAAAGTGAAATATTTATACTATACTAATAATACAAAATTGAAGAGTTTATTTATTTCAATACTCTAAACTCTCGAACTATGTACTAATTCATTTGAAAAATTCTTTATGCATTTAATAGTCTTTTTTTTTTGAGTAGTACTACTCTTAAGAACGAAAAATATATGCATAAACTAGGGGGGCGCATTCGTGGTGTTGTAGTGAATGCGCAAGCGATCCTACACACCCCATTGCACTGCGGCGACGGGTTCCGCTGTGGGTTTTAGTGAGTAGGAGTCTCACAGTACCCTACCCATTGACGGCCGGTAGGGTCCCCATGATGGGTTTCCCCAGCGTCAACAAAAAAAAAAGGGGGGGGCGCATTCGTAGACGGGTGCTAGTTCAAAATATTCATGCAATTATATTACTATCAGAAAGTTGTGTTACCGGATGAGCTGTGAACATAATACATGTTTAGCAGATGCTATTGTAAGCCTTTGTGTAACATTATTTTTATTTATTTGGTTAAAACTTAAAAATATGTGTAAGATATGCTTTTTTAACGTTGCGAAATGCATTTAGACATGCCACCTGCATACATACATGTGGTTATGTGGAACTATCGGCTAGAAAAGCCAGTACTACCCACTAAAACCTCCCCCATATTAATGGGGTAATGCACGCACTCAACCACGACGGCAGATCTGCTGAAGCAGACCACAACAACCATGTGGTTGCTCCCACGGTCTACTCTATAATCAGAGAAATACCAGGAGCAACCCGGCTGATACACCACCCACCGAGGTGGTGGGCGGTGCCTCCCAGTGCGTTGCTAGGCTTAGCGCCCGGCTGGATTGCCGGACGCCAATGAGCCCCCCACCGAAACAAAGTGAACGCACATTGGGGGGATATCAAAGATTTTAGCTTCAAGCCAATTTCTCTTATATATTTTTTTATTGCCAATAACCAGAAACAGTAGAGGCGTCTTCGTCGGGCACTGAAGAGGTCCGAAGACTACGCACCAAGAATATAGAATTGGAACAACAACTCAACCAGCTAAAACAACAGCAGGTACGTGCTATTAAAATTTTATAGAACTAAGAACTCACTCCATTTATTATATTTTGTTTTAAACAGACATTAGAAAAATATTTTATATTTTTTCTTAGACAGAAATCGAATCCACTACCTCCGTTCTTTAATAGTATTTTTTTAAATTTATATGTAAAAGTAATTTAAAAAGAATTTCCTTTACATTTAGTGCCGCTTCATGTTACATTATCGGTGTGCGGAAGTAATTACCCTATCGCACCGTGTGCACCGCACTTGCCACTTAAACACCGTTAAGCACATACTGTCCATTGTCGGTTCTATTGAGCTATATTTTAAAAATAATTGCATTTGCTATTTAAAACTTTTAAGATAAATATGTTAATATGAATGTTGACTTTTGAGTACTTTTGATGTGATAAAACAGTTTGTGACTTGTGTTTCTATGTTGTTTGTTCCTTGAATTATTTGTTATGTATACAGTAAATTAATATACAGTCTCATATTTTAATTATATATATATAATTATTCAAAAAAGCATCAAAAAGGATATAATATCTAATATTTTAGTAGTTTTACTATGTCTTATTTTAAATAAAAAACAAAGCTTAATCTAAAGAATTGCAATTTATTTAACAATATTAATTAAATAAATTAATATTTGTAAAGTTGCAAATACAAACCGTAGCTTTATTAGCATTTTGTATTGTACAATGAATGTTCTTCAAGTTAATTCTATACTATTATTTTTTATATTTTAACATTTCATGTAATACTCACCTATAATTAATATTATAAAGAGAAAAAAATATGGTGTTTTGTATGTTTGTTTGTAATGGATAAACTAAAAATCCTCTGAACCGATTTAAATAAAATTTGGTCTGAAATAGTTTGACACCCTGGGATGTATATAAGATAGTTTTTATCCTGGAAATCATCCCTTAGGAGGGTGAAAAAAAGGGGATGAAAGTTTGTATGGGGCATCAACAATGAATTTATTATAATCGGAAAGGAAGAAAAACTTAAGTGACAATAAATGAGGTGGTCCCAAATAACCGGTAAATGCGGTTAAGTCCGAGCAGATGAGTGACAAAGCGTGGGCTTGGCAGGAGCTGTCGCTGGCGCCGGCCACCTTCGTGCGCTCGCTCGCGCGCAAGCTGGGCGCCGACACCGACGCGGAGCCCGCCAACGTCAAACGGGTAAATCCATACCTACTCCATACTAATATTATAAATGTGAAAGTGTGTTTATTTGTTAGTTTGTCTTTCACGTCGAAACCGATTGACGGATTGGTGTGACTTTTTGTGTGGAGATAGTTGGAGGGTTGGAGAGTGACATAGGTTACTTTTTACCGCGGGAGATTATCTATTTCCCTCGGGAAAATACGTTATAATACAACCCAGAAAAATATTTATGATCAGAATTACTTGAAACTTGGTATTAATAAATATGTGTTTTAGCATTTTTCGAAATTCATGTCATAATGGGGTAAAATAGGGGATGAGTTTAATTAAGCGCGATCGAAGTCGCGGGTTCTGCTAGTGATATATATTTAAAATTAGAGACTTGTCCTGACTGCGCTCCGATGCGGCTTTAGGTATCTATGTGATAATAATATGTATTCAGTATTGTAACTTCAGCACTATTTGCGTACAAATTTTACCTAAATCTGCCCAGCAGTTTAGGCGTGAAGCGTGTAGGAGTAACAAACGTACACACGTGTATATATACGCGCACACAAACAAACGCTCGTGCACACGCACAAACACGCACGCACGCAAACTTTCGCTTATACAATAGTAGAGTCCGTAGGCCCATTAGAACAGAATACATAAATAAAAAACATACATACAAACAACATGAAATAAATATAATATAAAGCTTACAATACAACACAATAAAAATTATAACAATTATAAACATTACAAAACGTACTACATATTTTAAATGTGTTACAACTAAATTTAATTATATGGTATTATGTTACGTTTTTTTTTTCTATAATCGAGTCTATCTTTTTTAGCTATAATCAAACTTTATTCAGTTTTTATTCAGAACTTTATTAATCATAGTTTGTAAAGTATGTTAGAATAAAATCAAAATAAAAAAACTATAATAATTAAATAAAAATTAAAAAAAAAAAATTAAATAGTAGTAGATACTAAGAGGAAGTTGAAATATGCTTACAGTTCGAGGATAATGAATTGCTCAAGTCCATTATCGACCCGCTGGAGATGGAGATCACGGCGCTCAAGAACAAGTTGAGGGAGAATGACGCGCAGCTGCAGGACGCACTGGTGGGTTCCAGCTCTGGACGAGCGCGGCCAGCCGTTGAGATCGTCTGTCTGTACTTGGCTGAGGATAATCAATCAAATCAAAATATATTTTACTCAAATAAACTTTTATAAACACTTTTGCATCGTAAATTTTAAATTTAAATGTCAGTATGTACCTCTATGAGGAATCTATCACCGGTTCGCGAGACACTTCTGCTGAGAAAAGCCGGCGAGAAACTCAACACTTGCTGTTTTTTAATATAATAATAATTTACAATATACACGAAGTTATTGTTCTTACCACACATTTGTATCAGCAAAGTACCCGCACGGAACGTACACGTATGGAATAATATGCTTTGCTCAATAATAATAACTTGTTCGTTCATTCAATTTTACCCTATTGAGTATATTCAACGAAGCAGTGAGTCCGTCTTTCAAGATTAAAAAATATGTTTGTTGAACTTTATTTTCATGAATAATATTTGCTGTGTTATTTCAGAAAGCTAAAGCCGCGAGCGCCGCCGGCGCGAGCAGCTCCGGCGACGCCAAGCCAGAGACAGGTGCTTTAGTTGTTTTTAATATTAAACATTATATGTGTCTTAATTTAATACGTTAGAAGGTAAACTTTAATAAAAAACAAGAAACTAATATTATCTACTAATAAGAAAAAAACAATTTGTAATTTTTTTGTCTGTTTGTTTGTTCCGGCTAATCTCCGAAACGGCTGGACTGATTTTGACGGGACTTTCACTGGCAGATAGCTGATGTTATAAGGAGTTACTTAGGCTTCTTTTATTTTAGAAAAAGTAATCAGAGTCTCGCGCAAAAAAATTAAACCCCATGAAATTGTGACGCATACCTAGGGACGCACCCGTTCGGGTTCGTTCTTAGATACGTTTTAATGGTTAGTTCGAAATACATAGTCGATTTCTTGCTCCATGAAAAACAAAAACATATCTATCCCACAAGAACCGTACATTTTTCCGGGATAAAAATGTGTTATTCCAGACTATAATCTATCTCTGTGCCAAATTTCATCCAGATCCTTTCAGCCGTTCTATCGTGATTTAGTAACAAACATACATCCAAACTTTGGGCATTTATAATATTATTGTGATTTGTCGGCAGAGGCGCGCGCGCAGTGCGACATGTGCGCCAACTACGAGCGGCAGCTGGTGGCGGAGCAGGCGCGCGCCGCGCGGCTCGACCTCGCGCTCAAGCTGGTACCCACTCTGACTGTATTCAGACTTTTTTAATATCCCACTGCTGGGTGTGGGCCTCCTTTCAATGCGAGGGGGATCAGGTCATAGCCCACCACGCTGGACAAGTGTGGGTTGGCGGACTTCACGTCTTTCGAATACTTGTTAGGTTCTCTCATACGCGCAGGTTTCCTCACGACGTTTTCCTTCTTCGTAAGATAAGTAATTTAACAAATAATATTGCTTAAATAAATAATTAGTATGTTTAAATTTTTAATATTCTTTATGGTTATAACTTCAAATAACTACCTTTTTATGTTTACTAATGAGTTAAGATTGAAAATAATCAAAGAGCCTTAAAATAAAATTGTCAAGAGACAACTTTAGTCTTAATCAGTATTTATCGAAGAAAACTCATAGGCGACGGAGGAGCTGGAGGGCGTGCGGTCGGTGCAGGACGAGACGGTGCGCAGCTGGCAGGCGGAGCGCGGCGCGGGCGGCGCGCGGCTGGCGGCGCTGGCGGCCGCGCTGGGCGCCGCGCGCGCCGAGCTGGCGCAGCGCGCCGCCGCCGCCGACGCCGCCTCGCAGCGCGCGCTGCAGCTCGTCACCACGCTCACCGTCGACAGGGAGACGCTGCAGAAGAAACTCGACAGGTATTGAATTGATTTTATCTATACACATATATATACTAGCATTGCCTGCGGCTCCGCCCGCGTTCAGATGACCAAAAAACAAATTCTTAGGTTTACATATTAGTATACTCTTGCATTGCAGTTTTAGTATTTTTTCTCATAAAGGAGACATTTTCCTGCGGTAAAAAATATCCTATATGTTGACCCGTATAACCAGCTACAATCATACCAAATTTCGTCAAAATCCCTCCACTGTTTTTCCGTGATGCGGTAACGGACAGACAGACAGACAAAAATTCTAAAAACTATAGATTCGGCCTCTGTATCGATAATAATGTGTATTTCAATAAGATTTTCCGAAAAATATTTAATGTACAGATTCGACTTAGTTACAATTTTATTATATGTATAGATTAAAAAATATGGCACTTAAACTCTTCAGATAACGATTTCTGTCTGCCTACAAAAAAGGTAAAAGATACGATAAAAACTAAAAATAATAAGGGCTTACATAAATGAAAAAAATTATTTATTTTATGATTCATGTCGATTTCTGTATCAATATACTCATAAACAGTTTATTTAATTTTTTTCTATACTTAAAAAGAAACCTATTATTTATAGGTTCTATTATAATAACATCCAATAATACTAACAATATAATAATTTAAGAAGTCATACTAACCTAGTCGAATGTTATAATTCCTCAGCTTAGAGAGGGATAACGCTATGCTGATAGGACAATACACGAAGAAGGCGGCCGAGATGCAGAACGAGATCATCAATCTGCCGGACAATGTTGCGGTGAGACTTCGCATTTCAACATTGGAAAATTATACCTACTAAATACTCATAAGATAAAAATAGTTTTAGATACTCAAAATCACTTATGCATTTATAATTTGACATTGCCATTTTCTTGAAAGAAATATAAAATATTTAGTATATATGTATAACGATTTACTCTTTCGATAGGGCGTCCCCATGTACCTAACTATGCGCATGCACACACACACACACACGCGCACGTACGCACATACATAATATTTTAAAAATTATAGTATTAATTTATTCCAATTTCAATATATGTTATATATATCAGCAATGCACGTACGTGGTTCCCCCGGCAGGAGCTGCAGGAGCTGTCGCTGCAGCTGCGCGAGCAGCTGATCGTGTGCGGCGTGGGGCGCGAGCGCGCGGCGGCGGCGGAGCAGGGCCTGCGCGCGCAGCTACTGCAGCACGCCCAGCTGCTGCTGCGGCGCGAGGCCGAGCTGGCGCAGCACGCCGCCGACCTGCGCGCCGCACGGTACCACTCGCACTCACCACTACATACATATATACATAGTACATACATACATATGTCACGTTGTCACTTTTCAATCGATTTCTAAAAGAAGGAGGTTATATTATTACAACGAACAAATATGAGTATGGATAAAATAGCATTGCTAAACAATTAATTATGTTCAATATTTAATCGTACTTATACTTTAAAAAAATAATATCTTTTCAATGAATCAGGGAGGAGTTGGACCAGCTGCAGACGGAGCGCGAGCAGATGAAGGAGCTGGCCGACAAGCTGCGGCACTCCAACGACATGATCGAGCAGCTGCTGGAGGATAAGGTACAGTGTACACTGTACACTCAATACTAATTGGTATAGACTTCTGAAAAAAAATTAAAGTTTTCATGAGTTTACTTTGTTGATGCTAATATTATAAATCTTAAAGCTTATTAATCTATTTGTCAATTCTTCACATTGTAACAGCATAAACTATTTCAATGAAATTGGTACGGAGGTAAATATATCTCTTAAATTAACATATAGGCCAGAATTAATTTATCAATATTCATAAAGATACCGTGCGTGTGCAGAAGCGTCTGCAGGGCGAGGTGAGCGAGGTGCGCGCGCGCGTGAGCGTGCTGCAGCAGGAGCTGGACAACAGCGAGAAGGTGCAGCAGGACTTCGTGCGGCTGTCGCAGTCGCTGCAGGTGCAGCTGCAGCGCATCCGCGAGGCCGACACCGAGGTACGGTGGCAGCACGACGACGACGTGGCCGAGTGCCCCACGTGCCGCGTGCCGCTGCCCAACAACAAGAAGAAGGTATGGCCCACTCTCTAGCAATCGCCTATAATTTAACTCGTAATACAGTTGAAATATAAAATTCAACAAAAAGGAATTAATATTTCACTATTACATACATTCTTTTAAGTCACTGTGAGAGGGACAAAAACAATGTAATATAAATTGTTATAAAGTTCGCATAAAGAATTTCTTCGACGTCAATTAAACCCCAACAATATATTTTAATGGTTTTTATCGCAGTTCCACTCTTGCGGTACTTCGATAAAACAGAATGTATGACTTTATCCTGGAAATAAGTAATCTGAATGAAATCAAAATATATTTTATTTTAATAGACTTTTACAAACACTTTTGAATTCAGTTTTATATTTTAAAATAAATGTCAGTAGTCAGTCCATGAGGAATCTACCACCGGCTCGGAAAATCCGTTCTGCTGAGAACCCAAGAAAAATTCACCTAAATTACTCACACCTGTCTTTTTGTATTTACTTTATATAAATCTAAAAGTCAACGTATTAAAATGCAATTTGGAACATGAATCAATTATTGTATGTATGTGTGTGCGTAGATCCACTGCCGGCACTGCGGGCGCATCTTCTGCGCGGCGTGCGTGGCGCACGTGGTGGCGAGCGGGCCGCGCGCCGCGCCCGCGCGCGTGTGCTCCGTGTGCCGCACGCTGCTGCAGCCGCACGCCGCGCCATACTTCAGCACGCGCCCCCCAAACTCGCCTGACTAACATTCCCTCCCCCCTACCACTCCCCCTCGGACAAACTTCTCCCTGGTTTATTAACAATAAAATCACCCCCCACATGCCGCGATTTCCAGATATTTTCATGTGTGTGCTCGGTCAGATATACATTTCTTAGTGGTTTACAATAATTTTATTTTCCAACAAACTTATTGATCAACCATTCATTCGTAACATACCAAGCTTATTACAAAAGTATTAAATAATTAATAAAATCAGTTCCATATAAATATGTATATAGAGAAGCCTGGCGCGTCCGTCCGCACCGAGTGCTGGCTGAGACGAACAAGAAGTTGGCCGAGTGTTATTAATTAAATACAAATAATGTAGGTGCATAGACGTAGAGAATGAACGGAGCAAACTGTCATAAAATTGACCACTCTTTAGAAAGAGAAAACGCGAACGTGCGACCAATAGGTACTAGCCAATAGGTAGGTCTTTTATTCCTATTTAAGTTTAAAAAAAATATAATATTATTAAAAAATATAAAATTATAATTTATTAAAGATTATAATATTATAATGGAATGTAATATGGTTATAAAAATCTATCTTCGTTAATCGTATTTCAATGAATACAGAAGACTTGTGGCCGCACATTCGTTTTGTCTCTGTCGCTGTCCGCCATTTTTAGCTGACGGTTGGCGAAGAAACACTCGATCCACACTCTATGTGTAGGTGTTACGGAATTTTAGTTATTATTCAAATTGCTAATGCCAGTTTACCTTATAGCGCTACCACAGTTTCGTTAACCTCAGATATTAAGTGTGGAATCTTTCTTCATGGATATCCCGATGTTTGCAGAATCTTATGCGTTTACATACGAATGTTATATATTAATAACAGTTATTTAATTTATTAATTGACTATTCGTCAATCGATCTATAAGTATCCTCTATGACTACGATTAAAATTTAAAAAATCCAAAAAATAATAAACCTAAATGTTAAAATCAATTTTATTTTTACAACAAACCTTATTTTATTATAATACGTATAGCTCATTTGAGGAAATTATTCTTTATACTAGAAAACATCACATTTTTTTTCATTCTATTTTGAAAGTGTTGTATACTTCCTCTTGTCCCTCGGACGGTGTAAATAGTTGTTCTTTTAGTAGATAGTTCGAATGAAGGTTCCAAACCGAATGTTACTGCATACTGCATTTCGCATCGTTTACGTTTACTGGTAAGGAATTGGCGCAATAGACCCCCGGGTCAAGTGATAAATATAGTGCTAACATTTATTGTACGTTGTGGAGAGCGCTCGCTCGCTCGCATCATAAGATACCGACACTATTATCGTTAAATAGTGTTTAACACCTCCAGGTAAATTTCTAAGAAATCTATTGTTAACTGTAACGCCGGCATATCTGTGATCGTGGAGGGTCAAATTATTTTAGGTCACGTTACTGAGTAATCAATACATAAATAAAAACAGTCTCGTATCTCTTTAATATAATTTTGCTCGAGCTATATCTACAAGCTATAGCCGGCATTAATATTTGCTATCTTTAATTAGCATATAAAATCACTTGTTCTATTCTATTTTCATTCGGTCCACTCGATATTGTTTGTTAAGTGTGTTCTGCAGTTAATTTTATATAGAGTCACCGAAATTTCATCAAACTTAGCCGAAAGCTTCGTAAAAATTGTAACTTAAAAAATAAAATCTATATTTTAATAATATGATTTTTTTTGAAATAAAAATTAATAATATCTTTTTAACACTTGTATCATATAATGCGAGCAGCAGAGGTCATGTTAAATAAAACTAGCGAATATTGTAAGATAGATATTTTATTGTAAATAAAGAGCTCGATATTGAACCCAACAGCGCTTTTATTATACTTCCTGCAGTACATAACTATCTTGAATGAAATTTAATTACATTTATTAAGAAAAGGGGGATTTCAACCTGTACCTGTTCTTTCCTTTTTAAAGTTGAATATTATAAATAATATTTACGCATTACCAATCTTAAGTATAAATTAAGGGTTTTTTGTAATAGATAAAGAGAAATTAAAAAAGAAATTCTCAAGGCCACAATATTAAATGTAAAATAACTTAAATCTAAATACATAAATGGAAATAATATGTGAAGTAAATCTAATCGTGGTAGTTCTCGAGGCTGAGCGTGATGACGTCACTGACGAGGCAGTCCGCCGGCTGGAACAATTTTTTTTTTAGTATACAATAAAAACTCACAGATATTATTATTAAAAGTAAAATCATTATTTACACATAATCATGGACGAATTAGAGACTGGACCTGACATAAAATACAAATGTATGAAAACTAGTTCAACCAAGTGACGCATAACGCACACAAAGATTTTATTACATTATTATAAACACTGATACACAATACAATATTTCTAGTGCTTGAACTTAATCGATAAAATACATATATCGATGAACCAATGAATGACATTTTAGACATTTGTAAGCATAGTCATCATATTTTACATCTTTTAATTTAAAATATCTGTATTTATTATAATAAATTAAAATAAATGAATTAAAGAGGCAATAATAATGTGTCAAATAATAATTATTTTTTAATTTGATTTATATAAATACGATAGCATTGATGGCAACATTCTGTTGGCCTATAATAATGTTAATGAACAAATGAATATCGGGTGTATATTCTATTAATATATAATAAATATTATTTTGTAAAGATTAAAAAAATATTAGGCTAATTTAATTAAATAAAGTGATTTTGTTGATTCTGTTTTTGAACTATTTTAATTGGCAATTGATTGTCTCGGGTAGTAGTTATAAAAATGTGACACTGTCCTAATATTGCTCAGTTCTTAATAAACATTTGTGAACTTAGGAAAAAGAAAAAGTAATTGCAAATTGTGAAAAAGTGAGTGTTGGATCGTGAAAGTAAAATAATTAGTGCAAGTGGTAAAGTGTTTTATTACAAATCGCCAACCCAGAAGTTTAGTGCTAAAACATTATTGTTGGATTTTGTGTAATTTATGTGTTGAAATAAAATGATCTTTATTATTATTACAATGAAATAATGTTCCAAAGTATATAAATGTGGGATAAAATAAAATAAAAAATTAAGTACACATACTAATTATAATTTTTGCATTTATATTTTTATTTGATTTAAAAAATATTTTTATAAATTTATTGTCATCAGATTGTAGGATACTGTGATGAAAGTATTTTATGTTATTGTACTGTACAAATAACACAATTCGTTCAGTTATTTCGTCAAATATCGATATATTTTTCGACATTGTCAAGCACTAGTCGATGTCAAATGGACTCACTCGACAGTTTTGTCATTTGTTCTGAATGGTATAATCCAGTCATTTTATGATGGTTATCAGATGTCAACAATACATAGAAAGATCGACTATATTTAACATAGTTGGATAATATGACATTTTTATTTTACATTTAATTAAATTTTGTGATAAATAACAATAAATGTAATAAAATAATGTATTTACAACTGTAAAGAAATAGTGCTGCTTCCGCCGTTATAGTTTTTACACCATTTAACAGAACATTTAATCATTTTTGGGAGATGTTTTGTTGACAAGTAAGTGCTTGAGACTGACACAAAAAACAAACGACCTAGGCTAAAATTCCCTGGTTACTGACATGCCCGGTAAAGGTACGTCCGCTTATATGTCTGGTCCAGTGGTTAATTCGTTCATGCACATAATATATGAAACAGTATGTGGCTGGGAAGAGACTTAGGCAACTATTAACCAGAGAAGAAAGCTTGATAATTCAATTTTCATTATTGTAATATAAAAGTGCGACTTTAACTTCACTTGTAATTTCTTATGAATGGATTTTTTGAAAATTATATGAAAGTCCTGAATCAATTTAAACAGAAATCATTAAAAACTGTTTAATATCAAAAAAAATCGGTCAAAGAGAATTATATGCATTTATGACGGTCTCAAAAGTAAAATAAACGATAGTGTATAAAGACAGGTAGCGTCTCCGAGGAGATGAACAGCGCAGCCATACCTCTGAGCAGATGCCGACGAGTGCGTCTGCGCAGCCGTAGAACTCCTCCTTGAGCGAGATGACGATGGTCTGCAGCGAGCCCTTCTTGGAGCGGATGAAGGAGGCCACCTTGCCGATGTTGGTGTTGTCCAACGCCGCGTCGATCTCGTCCAGCAGGAAGAACGGCGCCGGCTGAAAGCTGGACGTAACACAATGATAATATGTAAAGCGCTATGTCACGTGGTGAAAATAATTTTTTTTATCATATATATTATAAACACATGTTATTTAATATGTAATCATATTATTTATTAGCAAGTTTGTTTTGAATAATAGCAAAATTATAGAATAAATAATTATTGTTTTTTTTATTTGAATATTCAATAATATAAACACCTCAGTAATAAAAAAAATACAATTTAATGCAATAATTTTTTTTGATTGTCTACATTAAAATGCAAAAGAGCCCTACGCTCCACTCTTCATAATTTAATATTCAATCAGCATGTCAAAGTACTTTTAAGTATATGTAAGAGATATTTAAATTCAAAATCCTTTATTCAATATAGGTATTTCAAAAATACAATATATCTCATAAATAGTACCAACAGCTCAGAAAAAAATGGCGTAGTCCTGAGAAGAACTGGCGAAAGAGACAGCACATTGTACCTTTACACACACGTCTATTTATTATCTGTGTTACATAGTTAATGTGCCATAAAGAATATGTATGTATGTATGCACCTGTGTATGGCGAAGAGCAGCGCGAGCGCGGCGACGGTCTTTTCGCCGCCGGAGAGGTTGGACATGGGCTGGAAGCGCTTGCCGGGCGCCACGCAGTTGTAGTTGATGCCGTCCAGGTAGGGCTCCTCGGGGTTCTCGGGGCCCAGGAAGGCTTGCGCCGACTGGTTCATCGCCAGCGCCTTGTAAATCGCGTCTATCTCGTTGGCCACGTGCTCAAAACACGTCATAAACTTGTCGTGCCGCTCTTTCTTAACCTGTACATGACAAAATATGTTAAATATGTATATCCTCAATGATTTTATTGAAATATTATAATTTATTTACAATACATATATATTTTTTACCTTTTCGAAAGCCAGCTTAGCTTTATGAGCCCGTTTCCTTGCCGCTACGAAAGCTTCGTTTGTGGCGTTCACTTTCTCGCGGACTTCGTTCAGTTTTTGCATCGCCTGCAATCGTGGATTAAATAAAACATTATTAATAACATATCTTTCTATCATCGAAGAATCAAAATTTTAATAAAAAAGCTATCCCTCTGCTGTTAAAAACTTTATTTCCGAAGGTAAAAAGTACATTCAATGAAATGAAATAAACTCTATTTAATTAAACTTATTATGAGTACTTTTAAGTCAATATAATTTAAACAGCGTCAACAATCAAAATATTATCAGATCAATTATATACATCCGAATGTCATTAGTGTGTGTATATTTGTAACTTCTTCAAGTTTCAACAGTTGGACGGTCTTGCATGAAATTTAGTATACAGATACACTATGACCTGTAGTAACATATGGACGACTGTTGGGCAGCTAGGCAGAGAGAGAGGGAGTGAGTGAGTGAGTGACCCGCATGTTGGGCGCCTGTATCTTGTCGACGGTGTTCTGCAGCGAGTTGATGGCCTTCTGCAGCTTGTCGGCCTTGCGCTTGATGTCGTCCGCCTCGTCCAGCTCCGTCAGCGCCTCGCTCAGCGCGCTGTAGTCCACGCGGATCCTGACACACATACGACCGTCATAAATATGCCTTGAATTCATCGATCAAAAAAGTACTAGATACACAATTCCAGGCAAAAGTTCTTTTAAAATTGTCACCAATTTTAGTCGAGATAAATATACAACAATGTAAATTGAACCTTAAATGCAATAACTAAAGTTGTTTCCAAAAAAATTAAATAAAAGCGCGTTAAAATTTTCAAATGAGCGGTCATTCGGTGAGGACATTCTTTGTCGCTGGTTGTGTATCTAGTACTTTTTAATCAGAGTGAAAAATGCTATTTCAATTAAGAATTTTACGTGTTTGGATTCAATATATGTTTTAAAATCACATTCCCCCGTATAAATAACATATTTAATAATTGAATTACATAGCCGGGACATTTATATATTTGGGAATTATGAAATGACTATATATCAGATTGCTCATATCAACAAGACCGCCTCGCATTTGCTTTGCTTTTTTATTATATTTCTTTTTCATCTCTTATAAGTATCCTATGTAGTTCAAATGTGCTACAAAATAATAAGTGAAGTGAGTGGGTGCGTGCCTGGAGTCCCGCAGGTACAGCTGTGCGCTGGACAACGAGGACTCGGTTTCGGCCTCGGCCGTGTCCTCCAGGTTGCCCTCCAGCAGCGGGATCATGATGTCGTCGATCTGCAAGACACATAAGGTTAAAAATAAGTTACAAGATCAAAGATAACCAGTTAAAATGCGTATTTTGCGTTTACATTTGGCGAATTTTATCTAATGACGAATTAGTCGTAGTAGATGGATACATGTACGTTACTTACTTATGAATGAATTAACCGGTTTATTTCGGTATCAAAACCGAAGTCTAACCGTTCTCTAAGAATAATCGTTAGCCATTATTATTTCGGTTCACTAAACCGTGAAACGATGAATTTTACACCGAATTAAACCGTTTTAATTTAAACCGGTTCTGAGCCCTGTTTATAATACCAAAGGTACCTAAAACCGCATCCATAAATATATTTTTTAAGAACTGAATTGATAATTCAATTATATATTAATAGCCATATTTACATAGCATCATATGATAAGCGAACAGTTTAGTACCTATTTCTCCTATTATTTCGCTTATTCGTTATTGACGAGTTTTAGTGTAATCAAAAAAAAAGGAAATATATATATGTTTTCTAAAATTTTCAATAATAATTTTGATTGAATTTTGACCATTGGGCGAATACTATATACAGTGTATATAAAATAATAATATTATGTTGCATTTGAAAACCATGCTAAATACTTTATTATATACAGAACTATGTAATTAGAATCGTATAGAAGAACAATAGAGGTGTGTGTGTGAATGTAACCTTGCACTGGCGCAGTATGTTGTGGCGGTCGCTGCGGCGGCTCTCGATGCGCGCCTCGATGCTGGAGATTTGCTTCTGGATGCTCTGGATCTCCTTCTGGACGTTCGCTACCTCCTTGCGCGCCTACAGTTAAGCACCGTTAGTTAAGCATTCATATGTAAATCTAAAACTTTTAAAATAAATTAAGAAAGATAAAGAAGCACCGACTGTTATGATTGTTTGAATCAATTTAAATGTTTTTGTTAGAATTAAATATTAACGTATAAATGTTATTTGCAATAAAACCGGATTTATATAAAATTTAGTACACATGTAGACTATGATTTAGAGTTTTTTGAACTAAAACATAAAATAAAAAAGAAACCCTTTTTTGTTTACAGACTCCAGAAATATAGATGTGACTTAATAATATAACAAAGCTAGTCCACTGACGGCGGCGACGGCCTCGTCGGCGCGGTCCTGGTGCGCGCGCGCGGCGGCGCGGTCGGCCTTGAGCGCGTCGGCGCGCCGCAGCTCGCGGTCGATCTCCTGGCGCTGCTTGGCCTCGGCCTGGCGGTGCACGTCCAGCTCGTCCTCGCCGTCCTGCACCGTGCGCTCCCACCGCGTCACGTTCTCTGTGCACGCACAAACAATCACATACATACAATGTACACTTGTTACACCGCGCAACAACACCACCACCACCACCAGTGCGATGAGTGCACTCACTCTGCGTGTCGCGCGAGCGCTCGAACTCGAGGTTGGAGGCGATGCGGTCTATCTGCGCCTCGAACTCCATGCGGCGCTTAGCGCGCTCCTGCTGCGCGCGCAGCTCGCGCTCCTCGTACTGCCTGCAGTATAAATATACGTATAGGATTAGGTATCCCAACAATTAATATATAAAAAGAGTATTTTTATATTATAATTTATATATTAATGTCAAAATTGTCTGTGGCTTTCACCTAAATATTTTTAATCAATAAAAAATCAATATAAAACTGTTTAATTTTTGGCATATTTGTCATTATAATCATACACATGTGTGCTATGATGTTACAAGCACATGTTTTAAAAAGTCCATATACATATATTTTCCCAAAATTTAAAAATGTATTTGGCTGCTTGTCACACTGATATTATTACGAAATTAATATTTGAAACATGTAAATTATATTTATTTCTGCATGGTGGATCAATATTGATAACTTCTATACTATTGTACTGTTGTATTGTATGTAGTATGTATGTATGTCGCCGGTACCTGATGTTGGCGACACCGATGTCCCGGCAGAACCCACGGAACACGACGTCCTCCACGTTGTTCATGTTCTCCTTCACCTCCTGTATCTTGGCGTCGCGCGCGCGGATCGTGTGCTCGATCTCCTCGATCTGGGGCTGCAGGGGACCACACATAATACAATTATACATCATTATATCTTTATTATCTTTTTCATGAATAACTATTAAATATAATATTTTTATATATTTTAGTATGAATATGTCATATTTGGTAGAATAAACTCACCCCAAACATTTCCATCTTGCGCTCTAATTCAGCGATCTCAGCGTCGAGTTGTTTTATTTGCTTCAACTACAAAGAAACAAAGAAGACCATTTTAATTTTTCATCAATAATAATTTAACGTAAAGTTATACAAAATTCACTAAATAATGAAGAGTTTAGTGAATCCTTATTATATTCTAGTTATGTATAAGTTCATTCTAATAATACTGTCCTCCTAAAAGATTTCGTTTATGGCAGACAATCTGACTAAAGATAGTCATCTGCGCGGGAGTGGAGAATGGGATGAGTACAAAAACAATGTGCACTACTTATTAGGGTGGAACAAAACAAAAAAATGTTTTTTTCTCTTAGCTTGGGGATAAAAAATGTAGCTTACAAAAAAAAATACTTTTTGAAAAAGAAATTTGTTTTTTACTCAACATTTTGAGGTGACCCACTAATTTTTAAAATAAATAATTAATTTAATTCCTGTCATTTTCATACCCTAGTGAAAAGACAATTTGGCACTATCAGATTCGTAGGACCGACAGCTTTACGGGCTCTGCCTTAGCACGAGGGTGACATACCGCTAATGTCCTAACTCCAGGCTGTTACTGAAGATTTCTTTACAGAAAATTTCAATAAATATGCTTGGCTCGACTCGAACCCAGGACTGCCAGATCTGCAGTCATACATGCTAACCACTAGAACTCAGACTCACTGTAGTGTCCCTGTCAGTGAGCGCGTACTTTAGGCGCGACTCCAGCCCCCGGATCTGCGAGTCCACTGTGGTCAGCTCCGACTCCTTGCGCGACTTCTTCATGGACTCGCGCAGCTCTTCTGTTAACTTTTCCTGTTAGGAGAAAAAAATGCTTGATAAAAACATACTGTTTGATTTTTGTAAGTTAAACTATTTTTTGATATTTTTGCGGTTTTACTTTCATTAATTGTAATCCTCGACGTTCAGAATGATTTATTAATCCCTCCAAGAACGCGGACACGCTGGCGTGTCAGTTAACAATAGATTTCTTAGAATTTTATTTAATTTCTTAGAAATTTACCTAGAGGTGTTAATAGTCTCAAATGTTTGCATAAATATAAGAAAGTATCAAATTGTTTGAATTGGTAGATTCTTTTTTTTTTGTAGTTACCTCAAAAATAGTTTACATAGTATTACACACAATTTACACCAAAAATCACGAGTTCAGTTCTCATACGAGACTCATGTTCTACAAAATTACATGAAGAGTGAGATAATGAGATTTAAATAGAGTAGAAAGTGATGTACCTTCTTCGCCTTAAGCTGCGAGAGGTGCTTCTCGTCCCAGCGCTTGGCCTTGCGCGCCAGGTCCAACGAGCCGCCCGAGATGATGCCCGACTTCTGGTAGAACGTACCGTCCAATGCGAGCGCCTGCAGACATTGACAAATATATTAATATATAGGATTTTCTAGTACACACGAGCTTAAGTACGTCGGTCGACAAAAGAGCCGTTACAGAATTTATAATATTAATATGACCAATAACACATTCTTGAGTTAATACAATAAATGCGAAATTGTGTTTTTTTTTGTCCCATTCTCTTAAGCCCAAAAACAATTGACGGTAATTTTTTGCATAATTTTTTTTTATACCACGTCAGTGGCAATCAGGCATGCGACCCGCCTGATGGTAAGCGGTTACCGCAGCCTATGGACGCCTGCAACACCTGGGGCATCACATGCGCGTTGCCGACCCTTTAAGAACCTATTTACTCCCCTTTTGAAGGACCCCATACTGTAGCCCTCTGGGAAAACCTCGGCAGGGAGTTCATTCCACAGCGAAATGGTCCGTGGGAGGAAACTCCTCTGAAACCGAACTGTACGGGACCATTTGGGCTGCAATGTGTGAGCATGAACTCGCTGTCGATCGCGAGCGGTGCGGTGATAGAAAGTGGCCGTGGGCATCATTTCGAACAATTCTTCGGAACACAACCCATTGTACAAACGATAGAGCACACATAGGGACGCAAAATCTCTTCTTAGACTTAGGGGCTCTATATCGCTTGTGAGTATTGGATCGTCGACAATTCTCACAGCTCTCCTCTGAACCGAGTCAAAAGGCCCAAGCTGGTATGCCGGTGCTCCCGCCCCAGAGATGTGAACAGTACTCCATATGGGGACGGACTTGCGATTTATATAAAAGCAGTCTTTGTCCCGGCGTGAAGTACCGCTTCGCTCTATTAAGCACACCTAGCTTTTTGGATGCCAGCTTGACCTTGTCTTCCAGGTGACTTCGGAACTGGACGTCGCTGGATACGTCGACACCAAGAATACCAATACTGTTGGAGATGGTTAGGGGTGTGTCCTGGAATTGAGGGGCCACAGTAAATGGGGTTTTCTTAGCGGTGAACGCACAAACTTGTGTCTTGGAGGGGTTAAATTGGACTAAATTGTCCCGACCCCAATCGGAGACTCTGGAAAGAATACTCTCGATTTGAGACACAAGTTGTTCGCAACTTTCTACCACAGCGGAGCGATGGATGTTTGCACGGCCTGTGTAGAAAGCGTCTCCAGTGCTGTCGTCCGCATAGCAATGAATGCCATCAATAGACAGCAAGTCATTGATATGCAGAAGGAAAAGCGTATATACATAATTTTTGCACTAGAGAATAAAATTTAATTTTGATAAAACAAATATCTTCCGCCAGCTTTCATACTATATTGCAGAATTACTGAAGAACGTTATATAATATGTAACTTGACTGATAAATATTCATTGAATTCATCAAAGTGTATATTCTGGATGTTAGGCTTTGTAAGTGTGGTGCACTGACGTCGTAGCGGCTGTTCTTGTTGCGGTCGAGGTCGTAGGCGACGCGCGAGGCGTCCTCGGGCGTCTCGCACACCAGCGCGTTGTTGGTGACGAACAGCACGGCGCGGTGGATGTCGGGCGGCTCGAAGCGCAGCACGTCGAACAGCAGCTTCACGTTCTTCGGCTCCTTGATGTCCCTGCACGCAAACACACACACACACTTATTGCAATTTGTTCTTCCATCATGCATCATCATCGTAAAATATCAGCTCTTTATTATTGCTAAACAATCTTGAGATCAGGATTTAATTAATGCATAATTGTAACTATTAATTACCAGTGATGTATTTTTTTTATTAAATCCAGTTTATTAAATTTCAATTTCTACACTGTGTGGGAGGCAATTTTCGACTTTCGGAATATTGTTGTTTATTTATTTGTTATTACTAGCAAACTAATAACTTTTATTTTAAAATTTTATTTGATAAAATGTATCAGTAGCATTGTTGATAGGACTATATTAAAAATGCTGTCAAAATAAATGCAATTCTAAATATTCTCAAAAAGTAAAAACAAATATTTTTCTTTAAAATTCACCAGGACATTAATTTCAAATCTCGTTCAAATTACCTAAGCCTCTCCCTCAAGGGCTTGGCCTGGATGTAGTCCAGGGGCAAGAAGGTCTCGGGTTCCAGCATCCTCTCCTTGAGCACCTGTATGCACCGACGCGCCGTCTTCTCCGTATCCACGACGATGGCCTCCATGTACTTGCCCAGCACCTTGGTGATGGCCACGTTATAGCGCTTGTGCGTGGGCTGGCACATGTTGATCATGCGGTCGTACTGTGGCGGTTGGGAGCGATGGGTTATAAAGTGGAATTAAATTAATTAATATTAAATTAATTTATGTCATTCATTTTAGCCTATTTTATTTTAATTTATTGTTCTAAGTGAGGATGATAATAAAGGTGGCCAAAAGATTGACTTTGTCATGTCTCATTTTTTTCTAACAGGTTGATTAAGTCTCGTGTTATATGGCTATATGTGTGTAGTAACGTATGGGGGAGTGTGGAGTAGTGGGGGGAGTGCGGGAGGCTGGGGTTGTGGGGGAAGTGTGTAGGAGTGTGGAGACGCACCACGCCCGGGATCTCCCGCTTGAAGCTCTCAACGATCTCCTGCTTCTTGCGGCGGCGCGCCTCCTCGTGCTTGTCGACGCGCGCGTCGCCGAGCTGCGCCGCCACCTCCTCCAGCGCCGCCTGCAGCGCCGCCGCCGCGCCGCGGCACGACCCCACGTCCGCCTGCGACCGACACACACAAAAAAAAAGAATACACTTACGATGTATATTTTAAAACAATTTTTTTAAAATTATTGAAGTAAATTAAATTTTACTCCATGTTAATATAATATGTGGAAATTTTGGTGGACTTTGTAAAATCTACTATGTTGTCAATCCATTGTATTGTATAAGATGTATTCAGCGCATACTGTCCTCGCTGACGTCACTCGTCGCACCCAATGAGAGGTTTATACAAAAATTATAGAAAACGATCAAGTGCAATGCTTTGCCAACAACTTCCCAATTTTAAGAAACCAAAAATACTACTGAGATTTCTTAACTAAAATAATCCTATAACAGTCATGATCCTACCTAAAATTCGAGTCAAAGACCACACATTACATAGTGTAGTGTGGCTCACGATATCCTCTAATGTAATACCTAGGATATTAGGATAGTAATAAACAGGACTCGGAACGTAAAGGTTGTCTCATTTAATGACAGCGTTACAGTAGTCAAACAAAACAACAACAAATTTCAGTTAATAAATTTCTTTTTAACTAAAAGGTATGCAAGTTTAATTTCAAAATATTATACAATAAAGATTTTTATTAATTCTAAAAAATGATTATGAAAATAAGAGCATAATTGTCGATAATATTACAGAATTATTTATCGAAATTAAAAGAAAATACTATCTCACATGCAACTCAGCTCGCAGCCTCCTCTGCTCCTCTAGAGCTTGCTCCGAGCTCTTGATATGCTCATTTAACTTCTCCACGCGCTTCATGGCCTCGTTTCTTTCATGACCCTGGCATACAAATAAATATGGAAATAACTCATTACACAAATACGTTTGTGAATGTTTTAAGAACAATAAAAAGTTTCCGAGTAATATTACATTATACAATAAGGATACATTTTTAAGAGGCAAAAAATAAAACTATCTTTTCGGATTTTTTCGAGAATTTATTTAGATTTTTGGTTCCCATCGTTTCGAATGCTTTACAGCAATCATGGTCACGGGAGAGACTGAGGTGTTAGATGTCTCTAAGGTATTACACTCCGCGACAAAAGTATAACCCACTCCCCTAATTTTGTAATATCCAATATAAAATTATAGTTATATTAATGCATTACTAATACACAAAATTAGGTATTGGTAAGTATATTTTACAACCAATGTACTATTTGTTAAATGCAAAATTAACCAAATACAGATGATATATAAGTTTTGCAGTGCGACAAAAGTGATGTTCTCTCCGAGAAGTATAACCCAGGTAAATTAAATATAAATAAAACTCAAGAGAAATGCAACAAAGAGCAATTATTTATTTAATTTAATATTTAGTACTTCGATCAACATTTAGAAGATCCACCACTTTTACTTATTACTTAAATCATTCTATCTGGTAAACTGTCATATAACTAATTTTTAATTGGTTTTGATTCATGTTTTGCCATTCGTCAATTATTACCGTTTTTAACTCTTCAACAGTGGTAAATTGTTTTGATCCTCAATAGACAGCTCGTAATAAGTTTCCCCAATAATTTTCAATTTTATTTAAGCCAGGAAAATAAGCTGGCCATTCAAGAACTTGAATATTTGTTACAGTAAAATAGTTTTTAACTATTTGTGCACGATGAATACTGACATTGTCGTGCTGAAATATAAAATTAGGACCAGCAATTCGCATTACATGAGAAGTAATCTCTTTATTTTTTTATGAACCGTTTACTATTCAATTTTCCAGTACAGAACTTGATATTCATTTTTCCTAAGTATCCAAATTCCACACCATATCATTACATTACCACCCCCGGCTTGTCGTCAAATCAATACACATTTTTCTATTGTTAAATCGTAAAATAGTAATGTAAACCATCAGGCTCATCTAAATTAAACTTCTTTTAATCAGAGAAAATAACTTTTTTCCAATTCTTCTTCCATTGAACATGATCTTTTGCAAATTTAAATCTATCTAATTTATGTTTACCAGATACCAGTCGTTTTCTTTGTAATTTCTTACGTTTTAGGTATCGACACCCGTGTATATAGGTTGAACATTTCTTAAATTAGTGCTAACACCAGCCTCCACTGCACTTGTCTTGGTGTAAGAGCAAAATTAGATGCAACTCTCAGAATTGACCTTCTTTCAGGCGGTGTTGTTGCCCTTGGTCGACCAGTCTTCTTTGTTTTGCCATAATTTTCAGGATCTTTTAGAAAATTACGCACAACATAATGACTTCTCTTGATAAATTTTGCAATTCTGACTTTCGACCAATTTTTAGTTTTAGAATACAATTTCTTAACTAAATTAATTTCACTGTCGTTGTTTATTTATTTCTAATATAAAAAGCCACGTTTCCCACGTGGCTTTTTGTATTAGAAATAAATAAATATCAATCGCAATAATTTTCTAGTACATAATAATTTACAAGGAACGTAGAACAAGTATAAAAAGGAACTGACACGTCTAACACATGAAGCTGCTCAAGCCAAAGAAAGTTATGGGTTATACTTTTGTCGCACTATCAAACTAACAATCACGCCGTAATATAAGAAAACCACTTAGAATGTAATTGAACACATATTATAATACTACAAACAAATAAAGAATATTAGTGCAATAGTAATATATCATGATAAATATAGTCTTACATTGGATATTACAAAATTAGGGGGGTGGGTTATACTTTTGTCGCGGAGTGTATATAGTTGTTACAGACAGCCTACCCACAATTAACAAAATGAATTCAAAAAATTGAAAAATGGCACCAAAGCACCTTACAATATTTTGACTTTAAACATCTTTATAATTTTAATTAGTTTTATAATTGAATTTGGAATATTGTTTATTTAATTTGAGCTATTATTATTATAATTATTAGTTTTAAGAATATTAATTAGTAATCTATATTTAGTGTCGCCATTATTATATTTAAAATCATAAAGAAAAAATATAATATTGTTTATTTATGCCACATAATTGATTTATGTATGTAATTTGAATTGTATGCATGTAATTTGAAAAAGTTAAAATTAATTAAAAATAATAATTTTCATTTAATTTGCTATTATTTAAAAACACATTATTAAGTAACACATTGCTACATACATTTACAAATGAAAAAATGAAAAATATTACCTGTAAAGCATTCGAACCGTCGGGAACCAAAAATCAAAATAAATTCGCGAAAAAATCCAAAAAGATAGTTTTATTTAAAATATCAAGTATTCGCGTAAATCTAAGAAAGTATTAGGCAAAAAATATTTAACCTAAATCACATAACTTTATCCATTCTAATACATATTATAAATGTGAATGTTTGTGAGGATGAATGGATGGATGTTTCTTACCCTTTTACGTCAGAACGGCTGAACAGATCTGGATGAAATTTGACAAACACAGATTATAATCTGGAATAGTACATAGGTTACATATTATCCTAGAAAAATGTATGGTTACTGATAGAGACATTTGTTTTTAATATATTAATTCATTGTTTAATAATAATTAATATATTTTTACCTCACAATACTTACCAACATTATTTTAACAATTAATAAATATATATATTTTTAGAATTATTATAATAGCAAAATTTTGAACAAATACAATTTAACCAAAACTAATGTTAAAATAAGGGCTACTGCATGCTGGTCTACCACCTTTTATAAACTGACAAGCGTTGCGTGTACAGGGCCTAATGTGTGTGTGTGTATAACAGGCATATCGCGGTACCTTCTGCCGGTGCTTATTCTCGAGCTCGCCCTTACGGCGCAGCTCGTTGTCGAGGCGGTCCTGGTCCGCCTTCTGCTCGCGGTTGACGGAGTCCAGCTCCTGCAGGTAGCGCGCCGCTTGCCGCGACGCCTCCATCTTCAGCTCCTCGTACTCGCGGATCTACACATATAAACATACATCACACTATTATATTACACTATAAAGATCCATCCAATATGCGATCTCCCATGGATTTTAAAGGAAATGCTGTCAAATGCAATGGTTGTCAAAAATATGAATTTTCATGGTGAACAGTTCCTAAGTTAAAGCACGACAGTACTATTTGGTGGCAGTTATAGCTATCCCCCTAACCCTAAAGCCGTTTCCGAACTGTCTTAATATTGAACAAAATTATAGTAAGTATGACGGTCGGGAGCACTACACCAGTATTTTTATTTATAACGCCATGAACTTAAATTTGTTTGAAGACTATATGAATGAATGGATTAGTAGATTGTGATTTTATCATCATCAGAATGTTGTTCAAAAGAAAAGTTTCCATAAGAAAACTTAGCAGTAATAAAAACTAAATGTGCAGCTAACCTGAGCCTCCTCGAGGTGCACGTCGGCGCGCGAGTGGCTGGTGCCGAGGATGGAGGCCTCCCACGTCGCCTTCTGCTCCTCGATCTGACGCAGTTCCTCCTCCAGCTTCCTGTATTACCAAAATAAATACATTATTTAGATAGGACCAAGAGAGAAAATAAAGATATAAATATTTTCATTATTGATTTTCCGCCTAATTTAAATCAGATATCCTAACGAAATTTCCTAGATGAACCGGAGCCCCTTCTCTCAGTGACCCCATTGATTCTTATAAAACCACCCCAGATTTTGTTTTTCTTTGTGTATTAATATTTTTGTGTTGATTTAGTCTTCTGTTTTCTTATTCATACTGCTGCATTATATTCTTAGTAAAGCTATATCTCTTATGATTTATTTCGGTTTTTGTTTCCCGGCGTTTCGAATGCTTTACAGCAATCATGGTCACGGGAGAGACTAAGGTAATGTAATGTAAAGTGGACTCGTTTTACGCACTTAAACTCTCTTCTGGTCCGTTGTGCGTGCGAATCTTGGCTATATTAGCCAGCCGAGCTCCGCCCAAAACCGAGAGACTAAGGTTTTAAAAGCCTCAAAAGTTATTATACATATAGCTGTTACAGACTGGCTGTTATTATAAAAATTGCATCAATTTACCAGTGCTGTAATGTACTTCATTATAATTTTAGTTTTATTTAAAATGTCAAATACTCGCATAAACCTAGGAATGTAAATACAATATTTCAAACTCTTACTATGTCCCTATGATAAAACATTTTACACTAATGAACCTAATGAATTTTTATTCGAGATCCAAGTATCATATATTTAACAACAATTTTCTTAGTCATTACTATGTAAAATAATCAAAAAATGAACTAGCGATATACCTAATATCAGCCTGGTGCGCCTCGTGCGCCTTACGCGCCTGCTCCAACGTCTTCACGGCGCTCTCCAGCTTCTTCTGCGTGTGCGTCACGCGCTCCTTCGCCTTGATGAAGGTCGGACGCTTCTTTGATATCTCCGCTTCCTGCACACACAATAATGCACTGAACACAACAACTGTATAGTGTACACACAGTGTGACCAGTTCCACCAGTCATTGAAGCTTGGATGAGTCGCTAGTATATAAAAAAATGTGTTCGTAGGATCAGCACACTTGACTAGACAAAAACAGCTGGACGTCAAGTATAATAACTTGCCATTAATATATACCACTCTCTAAACATAGGACTTTTTATCATAAAAAACGTTCACTGTAGAATAATAATTCAAATTTTGTCATATTTTTGCAAGTCAGCAAATTGACCTATGTGAAGTTAGAAACTAACTAAACAATAATTAGCTTTTATCAATTCTCGATTGTACTACGTTTGTACCGGATTGTACCGCTTTTTAAATCGTTGGTACCTCAAAGGGGTGAGCAATATGGGGGTTCGAATATATAACGTCTGCAGTTGTTGGGGATGGACATCAGCCCCAACATGAACTACGGGCGGTTCATCGAGTCTAAGGCTAATGTAGCTGCGAGGAAAGTTGGCATCCTTGCAAAGGTCCGACAGTATTTCACGCCGGGACAGCTTCTTGTTTTATATAAAGCGCAAGTCCGGTCGTGTGTGGAATACTGTAGCCACATATGGGCTGGTGCTGCGAAATACCATCTGTCAGCCTTGGACTCGATTGAGAGGCGTGCTCAAAGGCTTATAGGTGACCCTGCGCTGGTAAAAGCTAACTTTCAAAGCCTCGATCACCGACGTAGGGTTGCCAGCCTTTGTGTATTCTATAGGTTACATTTCGGAGAGTGTGCGCAGGAACTACATGAATTAATTCCCCCATCCCCTTTCCATCATCGGACAACTCGACGAACGACTGGTCTCCATCCTTATGTCGTGGACATTCCACCCGTCCGCACGAAGCGTTTCGCTACGTCATTTATTATACGTACGGCTAAGGATTGGAACAACCTGCTTGCGTCGGTGTTTCCGTCCGATTATAATATGGGTGTCTTCAAGGCAAGAGTGAATAGGTGGCTACTGAATTAGTGCGACTAACCATCTACGACTGCGTTACCACTTACCATCAGGTGGAACGTAGTCAAGCACTAATTCGGAATAGTATAAAAAAAAATGTACGGTTCACAGACAACCTAAAAATATGACGTTTTTGTTGATGCCAATTAGAAGCATATTGTTTGTACTGGATTGTATCGCTCTTAAAATCGTTTGTACCTCAAAGGGGTGAGAAATATAGGGGTGCGAAAATATGTATGGTTCACAGCCAACCTAAAAATACGACATTTTTGTTGATGCCAATTGAAAGCATATCGTTTGTACTGGATTGTACCGCTCTTAAAATCGTTTGTACCTCTAAGGGGTGAGAAATATAGGGGTGCGAAAATATGTATCGTTCACAGCCAATCTAAAAATACGACATGTTTGTTGATGCCAACTGGAAGTATATCGTTTGTAAAGGATTATACGATTATTAGAACTGAAAAAATATACATAAATAAAAAAAAATATCATGTTTATAAATATATGTACAATTTTTTCTCTACAAAAAAATCTCTGCGGTATAAATGGGTACAAACTATGAGAAGTCAAGAACTTATCGTAAAATTCAATTAGCACGTGTATAATGATGATACAAAGCAAATACTCCACGGTGCAAACGATGAGAAGCCGAGAACTTATTGTAACATTCAATTAGCGTATGTATCATAATAATATAATCATAATAGAAACGAAATTCTCGGCGGTACAAACGGGTACAAACGATGAGAAGCTGAGAACTTATCGTAAAAATCAATTAGCACGTGTATAATGATGATACAAACCAAATTCTCCACGGTACAAACGGATACAAACGGTGAGAAGCCGAGAACTTATTGTAAAATTCAATTAGCGCATGTATAATAATGATGGACACGATATTCTCGGCGGTACAAACGGGTACAAACGATGAGAAGCCGAGAACTTATTGTAACATTAAATTAGTATTAGCGTATGTATAATGATGATACAAACCAAATTCTCGGCGGTACAAACGGTGAGAAGCCGAGAACCTATTGTGAAATTAAATTAGCGCATGTATAATAATGATAAAAATTGAATGTTACAATAAGTTTTCGGCTTCTCATCGTTTGTACCCGTTTGTACCGTGGAGAATTTGGTTTGTATCATCATTATACACGTGCTAATTGATTTTTACGATAAGTTTTCAGCTTCTCATCGTTTGTACCAGTTTGTACCGCCAAGAATTTCGTTTCTATTATCATTATACATACGCTAATTGAATGTTACAATAAGTTTTCGGCTTCTCATCGTTTGTACCCGTTTGCACCGTGGAGAATTTGCTTTGTATCATCATTATACACGTGCTAATTGAATTTTACAATAAGTTCTTGACTTGTCATAGTTTTTTTTTGTAGAGATTTTTTTTTTGTAGAGTAAAAAAAATTTGTACATATATTTATAAACATGATATTTTTTTTATTTATGTATATTTTTTCAGTTTTAATAATCGTATAATCTTTTACAAACGATATACTTCCAGTTGGCATCAACAAACATGTCGTATTTTTAGGTTGGCTGTGAACCATACATATTTTCGCACCCCTATATTTCTCATCCCTTAACGATTTTAAGAGTGGTACAATCCAGTACAAACGATATGCTTCCAATTGGCATCAACAAAAACGTCATATTTTTAGGTTGGCTGTGAACCATACATATACTCGAACCCCTATATTGCTCACCCCTTTGAGGTACAAACGATTTAAAAAGCGGTACAATCCGGTACAAACGTAGTACAATCGAATAGAATTGATAAAAACTAATTATCGTTTAGTCAGTTTCTGACTTCACATAGGTAGCAAATTGGCCAGGATTATTGGAAAATAGAACTAATATTATCCATGCTGCACTTACAACTTCCCGGATGTCCTGTTCAATCTTAGCCAGCTCACGCTGAACTGCCCCGGCTTCTTTCTTCTTCTCTTTAAGAGCCTCCTCAGCTTTTTGGCGTTTCTTCTCCACCTTAGCGAGCTCTGATTGTTTGTGCTGTAATTCTTCTTCTAAAGCCTGGATATCCTTCTCATTGTGATACAGGTGGAATAGTTGGAGTTCTACTTTTTGTTGTTGCTAAAAAAATGTTAAATAATATAATATTTCCTCATTTTTTACACAAATGAATCTAATAATATCAAATGTATAATGTTTTACAAAATACGAATATAATGAATTAATGGTGCATCAATTGTAAGGGCTGTAAAAATAGAAGTTTTTTTAATGAAATTTACCAATTCCTCCTTCAACCTTGTATACTTCTCAGCCTCTTCTTTTTCAAATTTGGCTTCTTTACGCTCTGCTGCTACTCCTTTTTTCTTTTGATAAGAAAATTGAGCTTCCTCATCAGCACGATTCACTTCGGCACGACAAGCTTCATACTGCTCTTTCAGAACTCCCGATCTAGTGATAAAGAATATAAATGATAAATATTAAATTTATTATTATTATTTATTAATGATTATTATTAATTATTAATGATAAATAGTACAAACATTCGTGCTCGTCACACAAATGAATGCCCCTAGCGGGACTCGAACCCGCGACCGCTGGCACAGTAAGTAGGGTCACTACAAACTGAGCCATATATATCGTCACGTTGCACTTTAATATGAACTAGAAACTGACAGGCTTATATGAAAGTATTTATTATCTACTTCTCACATATATCTAATAATTCTCTATTGTACATATGTAAACAAGATTAAACTTGATTGATTAAGGTATCTTAATTATGATAACTATTCATTAATTACTAGCGACTCACCCTCGCTCCACTCTGGGTCGTCCCTAGATATGTTATAACGGTTAGTATAGATTATATTAGAAAATTTCTTAGAGATGAGATATTTCCCCAAAATAAAAAGTATCCTCTATGTTGACCAGGATACCCAGCTATCATCATACCAAATAGCATCAAAATCTATCCAGAGTTTTCTCATCATCACTTCAATGTTGATCAAATTAGTACTTTTTTTAAGATGTGTTAGCCCAAGATTTCCAAAATGCACTAAAAAACCTACTATAATAAGTTGAATACTTTTTTGTGACAAAAACATTTTAAAATTATGGAGCGATATTTAATACAAGGTTTTAAAAATATTAGTTTTACATATATAGTGGACCCCCTGCAATTCGACAAACGTTTTGCATGGTAGTGTCGGACAATCGAATTTGTTGGATTATAGAGTTCTGCCTAAGACCCCCTATAGTCCAGATTTTTTTTTAAATAGTACCTTCTAATCCAACAATTATAGATCAAAATAAGATGATTCTATCTGAATTATAAATCATACTAAGTACATATGTATGTCGGATTTAGTAAATTAAACAACCAGCTCAAATGCGTTAATCGCATTTTGTCACTTGTGGAGTAGTAGCAATTATGACATCATCATCTTTCTGAATTATTGTTGTAGAACTAGAAATCTCACTTATAATGTTTTCCTCAGACATTCCATGGAAAATATTTTCCTCTTTATCCATTCTACGACACACATCACATGTGGTCTAATTCTAACTAAGCATTTAAAAATTAGAAATCAAAACAAAGCGCATCGAGCACAATACAGTGTAGTGGCGGCGTGTACGAATTGCAACCTGTTTAATCATGTAATATCTTACATTTGTGAAGATTTGTCAAAATAATGTGTGTTTCTACATTCAACAGTGATCGCATGTTGGATTACAGAGGGCGACGGATTAGACAGGGGCCGTATTACCGGGGGTCCACTGTACTTTAAAATATAAGCTTACCCACTAATTTCTTCAAAAAGTGCTGTTCTTTCTTTTGGATTCTTCATAGCAATGCTCTCGACGGCTCCTTGGAAAACCAGAAAATTTTTGGCTTTCACATTGATGCCCAACTTTTCCAGCTCTGCTAGATACTGGCTTATCGAAACTGACTAAAAATAATATTATTTATATCTTAATTCATTAGAACTAAACAGTACTTAATAAATAGTAGTTTCATATTAAAGCTAACTTACTTGACCATCAATTTTGTGATCAGAAGACTGTCCAATAACCGACCTCTGAAACTGTTTTTCTGTCATATCCTCCAAAATAAATGTGGCTGTTACTGATGCACTACAAACACCATATAAAATTCATTAGAAAATTAATATAACTGATTCAAAATACTAATTATATGAGTAATATCTTACCTTCTGGAAACAGGTTTACTTATAGATGCACCATGAATCAAATCACTAAGACGCTTCACACGAAGGAGGGAAGTCTTCTCACCCATCACAAAACTCACAGCATCCATAAAATTTGATTTACCTAAAAGTGTGAATGGTAAAAGAATAAGTTTATACATCATCAAGTTGTTTGTTAATCGTGAATTTTTAATACAGTCACAAACCTGATCCATTAGGTCCTACTACAGCGGTGAAAGACTTCAGAGGTCCAATGCGGTGGTGCCCACGATAGGACTTAAAGTTTTCCATATCGATATATTTGAGGAATGCTGGCATTTTGATTCACTTAGAGATTAAAAACACCAATGAAAAACAAACTTTGTAACTTTCTTAAGGCGCCTTCGCGCCAAACATTTTTCTTCAACAATATAACGAATAGACAAGACATAAATTGACTGACGTCAACTTGACAAATGACACTTCAATTTGCTGAATATTGCATACTTTTAGGCAGAGGGCGCTGTGTGTTTGTTACCTGTCAAAACTCAAAAGGCATAAATCATCTCTTGTTGTTCCTGGTCTATGGCATAAATAAAACCCGTGCACTGTATTAAACGAATTTTAAGTTTCTTTTACCGTTTTAACTATGTTTTCTACCTGGTCAGTCGGTAAATTGAAGGAGTAGTTAAAAAAAAGTGAGCCTGTAGCGATACCGGGAAACAAAGCCGAGCTAATCGAAAGGTACATTAGTTATGTTAATCATGTTATCGAGTTTTAGATGTATTTTACACTATATCAAGGCTTTGTATGTTTTAAATTTAACTTAAATTGTTAATTATTGCTAGGCATAATCTTATTATGGCTCAACTATTGAAACGACATCCCTTAGTAGACTCTTGATTTTTTTTGTGCAAAGTACTTATTATCTTGAGTAATCCCACAAAGTTTCAAGTGGCGGAAACAAATACTTTTGGAAATAAAAATATCAAAGTTTGATAAATATAACCTCAATTCTGCCCTATTCTATTGTTTTTGACGTTATTTTGATAGAAGTGTTGCTATTTTAGGGAGTTTTAATTATGTGTTTTGATTTTGCAAGACAGAAGCGCTGCCATCATAGAGTTTTAATTACGCGTTTTAATAATACTTTCTTAGATTTACGCGAATATTTGACATTTTAAATAAACCTTTTTAAAGTTTTATTTCATACGCGTATTAATTTTGCAAATAATAAGTTGACGCATATTTTCATTTTTATTTGAAAATTCTCAATATTTTATTTGGTTTAAACAATTTCACAGTTAATTCAGATTTTTTTGGGTCAAAAACAACGAAAATTCGCAGTTTTCTTTCTCGTTGTTCTTGGTCTATGTTTTTCTTCCCCATTCAAGTAGCTTAATTACCATAGACAAGCATTAAGCCAAGTTTACTGGCAAATTTATGTTGTCTCATGCAGCTTTAAATCAAAGTTTTTAAGTTACCAGAATTTACTGTATCAGCTGAGACCTCTAAATAGTTTCAAATGTTCAGTAGAGTACCTTTGTGATTTTAACCAATTTTTTTTGAGTAGTAGTACCTTTGTAGTTTTAAAAAGAAACATTTAAAAACACAAAGTTTATATTTTTAAAGCCGTTTAAGAGTCGGTTCGTGTGTAGTCTTCCTTAGAACTCTATTTGAAAAGTTGAAAATGTCTATTTGACAATGTCAAAACTAACACTCAAAATGCAGATTGTCAAAAAAACATTAATTTTGTCAATTGTCATTGAACTAAATAATTGAAATAGTTTGTGTTGTGTACGCTCATAGTGCAATCATTACTTCTAAAGTTTTCCGACCATTCTTAAAAACTAATGGAGTATGGGTACCGTTGTCCGCTAGATTTTAATTGATTTGCGTACCATGAACGGTGATCAAAGCCCTGGCAGTCCTATAGATATAAGTGATCGCGAACAAGCACTACTTATGGATCCTATTGATCATGCTCGGGCTAGATATCCTTATTGTATAGTTTGGACACCTATTCCAGTTCTAACGCAAGTTTCTATTATTGATTATTAATAAAAATAAAGTTTTAGTATCATAATCTAAATCATCTATAAATTTTTAGTTGAAATTGCGCATGTTATTATAACTTTTATATACTTACTACAGGTGGATATTTCCATTTCTTGGACACATGGGAATTTGCATGTCAAATGGTGTGATAAGGGATTTTGCTGGTCCATATTTTGTGTCTGAGGATCTGATGGCTTTTGGAAATCCTACTAAGTACTGGCAGCTGTCCCCGCAGAAAACTCATAATGGTCAAGCTGGTTGGGATGCAGCTGTTGCAGAAGCTTCAGAAATTTATAAAAAAAGAATGGTATTGTGAATTCAAATTATTACTTGAACTTTATATTTATCATATTATTATACACTATTTGTGACTAGGAAATTGCTATTTAAATATAATTATGTTTATATTTTCTATTTTCTACAGCATATAATATTCTATGACAATTGTCACTCACATGTGGCCACAGCATTAAATATCATGAGCTATGATGGTTGTAAAAATTGGAATATGGTCAAACTTGCTCTCTATATGATACCCTACTCAAGATATGTCAGGTAAAAATCTATTTGATGAAATATTTTTAAAAATATTGCATATTGAAATATAAATAAATAAAAAATAATAGGTAAATTTCAATTTTAAAATTTGTATTCAATTTATTATACTAGACTTCACAGATGTGCTATTTATTAATTGCAAAAAAATTTTTTCAGCTTTGGAGCTTTTATGAAGACATGGTTGCCATTTTTCATAATAGTTGCATTTGTATGTGGCCTAGCTGCTATCATTTAAGCTACACTTAATATATAGTAGAGTCTACACTTCTATTATGTGTTTATGAAGATTTTGTAACAATGTAAAGACTTTGTGACTGTCATTATTCTATAAAAATTTACTCATTATTTTATATAAGAACTTAAATGTTTGTAAAGTTAGTATTTTTCAATACATAAAACTATGAATTATTCTTTCTCATTTATTTAAAAATATACTTAAATTGTTAAAGCAAAGAGGTGTTACTGTACAATTAGTCTTACAGATGGTATTGCATTGTACCACCTAAATAAAAGCTTACATAATAAAGAAAAAGATGAAGAAAGAGTTTATATACATTTTTTTAATAAATAGAGCCTTGAATATGTTTATGATAAATGTTTTTGTTAAGTTTATCTTATTTGTTGTTATACAAATAAAAGAATTTAAGCTAGTTTTAAATTTTATTTCCAATATAAAGCAGGCCTTATCAATAAAATATATATGGTGCAATATAATACAATTGATATCATCCATATATAAGTCCACTATGTGAATGCATGTGTAATATTTAAAGTTTTAATTTTCTGACTTATAATCTATATATTGTTTCTCTAAATAATGATAATTATTAGAAAGAAGATTTTATGCATTTCCATATTGAGTCCCTTTTTTACTGGATGTTGGATATTTAAAGTAAAATTTACTGACGGCACACAATTAGTCTCCAAAGATTATTTTTAGTATGCTATACACAAATTAGTCACTATTGATTGCTAAAAACCATTGTTTTAGGTACTTTAAAAGTTAAGTAAAAATATATACAAACAATATTTTTCATTAAAAATATTTTTTAAAGTTTTATTGTAGATTTCATAGTAATGTAGATGCAGTATATTTTCATTGTGGAATCAGGTTTTTTATGCATGTGAGATAGTCTCTATAATTATAATAAATTTAAGAATATGGAACGTTGCTTTAAGTTTTATACCTTTAATAGCAATAAAAGCACTTGTTTGGTTTTATAATGTACTTCAGTAACTTAAAAGAAAAAATGTCTCATTCAATTTCTAATGAGTTCTTAAGGGGTGAAGATCTTTACTGTTTCGGTTTAAATCGTGTTAAAGAATAATATAAGGGCATACATATTTATATTATTACACCATAGTAATTATTTTGAATAGAAATATTTTATAAAAAATCATATTTAATTTTTAAATATGAATTTACACCTCAAAACAAGTATTCCTATTCTAATAAATGTATATGATACAAAATGAATATCCAGTTACCCTATACATACATATATATATAATTTAGAGTAGGCATAAATGGCACAAGTTACAATATTCAGTATTATTTTATATTTAAAACAAATTAATATTGATGGAAGTAGCTGTAGGTACTTGTACATATATTTTATGTAAAGTACATATCATACGATTTGTAATTAAAATATTTTATAGGTTTATAAGTTAATGAAAATGTTATTTTTTTTTATAAATTTAGCAAAAGATGATCTTTTTATTTCTTTCCAATATAACATTTATGAATTTTTATATCACAATTGTATTATTACTTATACTATACATGAAGCTAAATATTTTCTTAACACTCTTTTAATACACTCTTTTCAACAGAAAAGTCATAGCTATACTTATCAATGTTAAATCTATTTGTAAGAAAGGCTAACAAATCACCAATTTCTGTTGCATAAGTGTCTTTGTTTTTCCACATTTTTATATCACGAGAAAGGGAAAAGGGTACCCCTTCTAAATAATGAAAACTTGTATCTACTTTTAAATTTTGATGAGGATGTGCAGGTGGTAATGGCGCTGGTCGTTGAGGATAGGGTATTCCACTGACACTGGGATAAAGGCCTCCTTGTCCAGGAGAAGTTGGGTCAACAACTACAAAGCCGTCATCGGGCCTAGGTCCAGGTATAGGCGGAGTATCGTCTTCGCTTGGAGAAGATCTTCGTTTGCCAAAGAACGAGGAAAACATGTTGGATTTTTGATAATCACTATTGATCCCAAGTTTGTGAATTGTGTTCACTAGAAATTTCAAATTAAGTATGTTTATTATTCGTTTAGCTAAAGCTGTGATAGATAACTTTAAGTCATAAGTGATTCAATCTTTTACACCACAGACTATAGAGAGCTGAGAGACAGAGATACTAGCAAACTCAAAGACAAATTTCAATGTCAAACAATAAATATACAATCAAACATCAAAATTGCACCAACTTAAATTATTTTCATAATTTCTTTTTTAAATATAAAATTATTTTTTTAAAATTACTGTTATAATCGTAATTAAAATTTGACATTAGTAAGATTATTAATAAAGTAAAAGAGATCAATATCCCTACAGATTATCTCTATTCTTTGAATCAAAATTATTTAATCAGGATAATAATATAACAAAATACGTAAACAAAAGAAGAAAATATCTCACCGAAATATAATTTAATTAAAAAATGAAAAATTGATGATGAGTTAACGCCAAACAGTTGAATGTTGTACATTGCATAGCAGCTTTATCTAATTAGAATTTGTTAAAATTGAAGCATTCCTACTTTCTATTGGTGTGTTACCAATAAGAGTCTAGTTGGATTCTTATTGACCAATCACACTTCGAGTAAATGGGTCAGTGTAGAGAATTGTGCGTATTAAGCGCAAAATTTATAAAAGTAATTTTTAGACGTAAGATGTCAAAACTTGGTCAAAACTCAAAACATACATTTCGGGTTGTTTTGAAAGAAAATTGTCTTAAACTAATGATCATAGTTTTAATCATGTGTTGGTGTGTTGCATATTAATATATAATGTTATTTAAATGTGTAATGTTATAGTCTTGTGTCATTCGTGGTCAAACTTTGGTCAAACTTGTCCAAGTTCCTGAAAGTACGGCTGGTTCAGAACGGGTTATTATTTATTTTTAATATATTCTAACTAAACCCTATATAATATTTAATAAACAAATGTATCTTTACTCTGTCTTTTACCTTACTTTATATGGATTAAAAAAAAATCGAACAACTGCTGGTATAATTTCCCGCTTTTCCAAAAACATCTCTTATTTCCATCAAAACACAATGTTGACCTTCGTACTGTTTCTTACCATTCTGGAATTTTATCAGTTTATTGTTGAATATGCTGCCAAATAAAATAGTATTGAGTTTATAATTAACATTATTTGCTTAGTAGTTAAAAAATATATATATATTATATACAACAATGCTATTGCTAATTAATTAAGTATAATTACTACAAGTCTTTACAAAGAAAAATTTCTACAACATTATTATATTATTTTTGTACAATATAAAGCTTTACATTTACTAATCTTTCAGTACTCCCTGAAATTTTACTGTTGCAATACCTACTTATGTTCCTTTTGTGCTTTTAAGTTATGCTACAACATGTAACATATTGTTCTAAATATTTTTTTATTATGTTTTGTGTTTGTATAACGATTATATATCTTTTTAGAATTGTACCTGCATGAGACATGGAGGATGACTCAGGCAGTTCTTCGGCTTATCAAGGTAATATAACAAATTTTAAATTTACATTTAATGTTAACAATTTACTAAACTTAACTATTTTAAAATATTTTCTGTTAGCTCAGCTCTGTCCTGCTAGATCATTATACTAACATAAAACAACATTGTTTCTAGTACTACACTGTTCTTTTTATATAATTATTAAAAGTTTTTGTAAACTTATAAGATGTCAAAAGGGAGCAGATAAAAATTTGAATTACAAGGTTTAATAAATTACAATTTATAATTGTCCAAATGGGTAGAGATCTAAGATACATATACTAAACTTTATTATTATATGTTAATTTTACAATATTTTTTAAAATAAATTATGTAAGAATAACATGAACATACATTTTTTTATAGTATCATATTTAACTAGAAAGAACAAGTAGGTTCTAAATAGTAAATAGCGTACAAATAAAAATATTATAATCTAAATATATTATATATATATTATAAATATATAATATTACAAAATAGTAAAAAACTTAGTAATAACTATTATGTAGGTAAATAATAGATACCATATAATTGAAAACTTGTTGCACATATTTTTGTTGTTTTAGAATCTATTTCTCATTCTTATTTAATATGTTTATCTAATTAATTCATACTACATACTATAATATTATAAATGTGCAACTGTTTGTTTGTTTTGTCTGTCTGTCTGTCTGTCCTTTTTTCACGTCGAAACAGAGTGACAGATTGGTGTGATTTTTGTGTGGAGATTGTTGGAGGGCTGGAGAGTGACATAGGTTACTTTTTACTACGAGGGAATATCTGATTCCCATGGGAAAACACGTTTTAAATACAACCCACAACAACTCATCATACCTAGTATATAATATATAGTCTATCTATTCCATATTAACCAAAACAAAACGCACCAAGGGACAAACCTTAGCAAAACGAGGTTAGTGACTCACCCTAATATTGGTATTTATATAAAAATTTGAAATATCGGATTACGAAAGAATGATTTAAAAGCAAATTAAATCAAATATTATGCATATAGAATAGAGTAATAAATCGGCGCAAAACAAACTCCGTATCCTGAAATCTAGGGCTGTGAGTCGGGGGCTCGTCACGATCGATGGCGGCAAGGCCACGGCCGCGCGGCGCTATCGATTACATATAAATAGCGGCAGCCCTGCGTCCCTCATGCCCCCGCCCCTGCCGCCCGGTTCGACGCCCCCTTGACCTTGTCATCTTCCACGTGTTCAAAACATTTATCATCTATTTGTACTCCAATTTGCTGGAGCAGGTACTCTCTTTTTTTACTCCCATATACATATTATGTACTATATCCCAATATAGGCGTGGTATAGTATAAAACTCTAGGTAGTATTTCAAGATATACATAGACATGCTAAGTACATAAGAAATACATTTTTCCAGGGACTTTCTCTAGCAAGCTACATAATTTTCAATTTACATTAAATTCGTTTCACCCGCTTGAAATATTCCAAACCACTTCTCGATACGTCTTCTACATAATAAGTATATTTAAATTAGTGGGTAATTAAATTTTGATAAAAAAAGGTATTTTTAATTAGTAAACTTCCACAAGGCGGAATAATTTAACTGTAGCGATGATACTGTTTATTTGTACATACGGATACCTACATAGATTGTGAAATCTAACCTTGCTTTCAGTGAAAAGGTGTTTGGAATATAATAATTACGTCAGTTCCTTTCTTTGTTCTAATACAATTAATTATTATAAATATTGTTTTTTGTGGAATTGTTAATTCTCAAATAATTTTAAACGTACCAACGAATGAAGTCTAGAATCTTTAAAAAGGGTTCACCTATACGTTACAGGGAAAAACTAAATATTATTTAAATACCTTATAAAATGTTATTATAACTCATAATTATAACATACGAAACCATCCTTCATGCGAGTACCTACGACTTGCTTGATCTAGAATCTAGACCGAGTAGAGTCATAGAGTTTTTACTACTCATTGGTTTTCTTTCAGTAGTTGAATGTTACTTCTTTTTTATACTTAGATCTGAGCCTAAATACTGAACCACCTTCGCTAACTACGCTGTGTGCCGTCTCATAAAATTTTCTCTATCCTACTGGAACCCTTTTGTTTTACCGGGATCAAAAGTAGCTTATGTCACTTTCTTCCGAAACTCGCCACTGAGGATCCCCTTAAAACCATCAAGTCATTCGTCTATTTATTATCTCAAGGTAGGTTTTTTCGGTATAAAGTTTTTTTTAATCCATAATTGCAATGCTTTAACGTACCAGAGCAATATAGTCGCCCAGGTGACTCAGCTCTTAAGATGAGAATAAAAAAAAAGTGCAGTGCAGTGGGCTATTACAACACTAATGACTATATTGTATAATGAATATAAAGCTAATATATTTTAACAGTTGTTTAGGCTTTGGTATCATGCAAAATGGAGTAGCTTTCATGAAGCAAACACATCTTTCAATATCTACACTACTACGAGTATTATAAAGAGGAAAGATTTGCATGTTTGTATATTTGTAACGAATGAACTCAAAGACTACTGGACCGATTAAGATGTTTGGTAAGAAGATAGTTTGAGACCCTGTGAAGGACATAGGATATTTTTTATTCCGGAAATTGTCCCTTAAGGGGGGAAAATGGGGATAAAGGTTTGTATGGGGAATTAAACCTTGGGACGAATCCGATCGAAGCGAGGGTGAGTCGCTAGTTATTTATAAACAGACTAATTTCATTTATAAATTGTATTTTTATATCTAAGTTCTTTAAAATACCTTAAAACAGTACCATAATGATTTCAGTACAGTTAGTATAGTTGATATGTATAGTATAGATAAGGTCCTCTAAATCAGCGGTTTCTAAATGATGGTCCGCGGAACCCTATGTGAAATATGTGAAAAAATTTCATTCATCACATTCAATAGCTATAAGGTTATATTTTTCGTATAATAAATATTAATATTTTTCATTTATTTCAATTCGAACAAGAAAGTACTCTAGTACAACACAATCAATTTAGTTATTATCAAAATGGAGATCCGTTAAAAAAATTATGATCAATTAGAGTTATGTGGAGTTAGTTGGGAACCGCTGCTCTAAATAACCGGTTAGTGCAAATAACATCTCAAAATTCGTTAGCAATTGAAATTATTATTATTTATAATGAAGGTTACTGCATACGGTACATAGCAAATTGACGTAGTAGATTATATCGAAATAAAATAAAGACGTAACTATTTCGAGGGACTTTTTTATCAAAAGCGGGTTTTAATAAAATTGATTATGGTTGATAAGCTATCGATGAGTTGAAACGTGATTTAACTTCATAATATATAAGTTATAGAGTAAAAATAAGTACATAAGTATTAATATATTTGATTAGATTAAATAATAACTTAACCTTTGGAAATAAAGGCCTATTAGATGTAGGAATATTTGATTTTAAAACCCACATGGTTAGTACGTCG